CCGGAAAGTTCTCCACCGACGTGGATGACATTAACGTCTAGTGCCAAGCCCGCGCGCAAATACCGAGAATGCCTCGTCTCTTCTTTCTCGCAATTCGCCAATTACAAGAGAGAGAGAGAGAGAGAGTCCTTTTTATTCAAAGGCTAATAAAAGATGCGACTCGTTTGAACAGTCCGAAACAATCGGGCTCTCGCGGAACTCGCGCGTACGTCACTGCGTTCACAGCGCTGCGGATGTGTAGGTCAGATTGGTAGGAGGGGGTGGAAGGGAAAAGATGTCGCGGGGGGTGAGGAAAGGGGGAACGAGTGGGAGCGACGTGCCCGGGACCCGAGCGAGAGACAGAGACGGGATGAATGAACGTGCGTGTTTGCGCGCGCGCGTAAGACAGAGAGAGAGGAGAGGTTAACGCGAGAAAAGAGAGGGAGCGAGAAGTGGGCGCACGAATGAATGAACGGTGCACGACGAGGACGGAATTAATGAGTGGGATAAATATAGAACCGAGTAACGCGCCAGAACGAGACGGCCTGCGTGCCTGCTTCTCTCTCTCTCCCTCTTTCGTTTCCTCTTTCTCTGTTCTTTTCTATCCGCGCCCTCTGTCGGCTCCGGCCCCTGCATACTCGCCTCGTTGCCCGTTGCTCGTGCAGCTTGTCTCGTCGTCCATACTTGCGCGATCGTAAGCCGAGACTGCAGAAGCATCTTCCACGTGTGCTTCCTCTCTCTCCTCGATACTTGGAACCTAGACGAAAAATACAATTTATTTATAGATTAATAATTTCTCTCCAATTTTGGGATCCTAAAATCCGCGCGTCTTCTTTAATCACGCGCGCCACGCCATTCAATTTGTTCGCGTTACATTTACATATTGTAATTTAATTTACTGTTTTAAAATGTAAAACCCAATACGCGCGCGTGCCGCGTTGTTCTCGAGAAAATGGCGACACCGCGCGACGATGAATTCGAGAAATCATATCTCTCTCTCTCTTTTCGATAGCGATCGATAAGGGTCAAGTATTTTCACAAGTTACCGAGGATGGTTGGTCGACAAAAATGTCGGCGAGCGATTGTCATCATCATCATCATCATCATCATCATCATCATCATCATCATCATCATCATCATCATCATCATGATGATGATCGCGATCGGTCGCTCCATTACCACCACTCCCGATCCGTCAAAGGCGAGAGTAGCAGAGCAGGAGCACGCCAAACGTTGAGCCGCGCCGACGCCGTGTGACGGCGCGTTGCCGCACGGCGGTGACGACGTAGGTAAAATGTTTTCATTCAATCCGAAGCTTCAATGATAGCTTCCGTCCATTCATAAAAAGCTTCGTGTGCGTCGGCCGGCCGGGGAACGGGCGCGCGTTCGCCCGACTCGCCGGCAGATGGCGCCGCCGTCCCGAGAGAGGGTCCTTTCTCCCTCTTAACCCCCTCTTTTCACTCTTTTTCTCCCCCGTCCCCGCGTCCGACACTGTCGCCATTCATGGCTTCCTTCCCACCGTCTCTCTTCCTGTTTCCCCTCCCTCCGCCCACGTTTCGTCCCTCCGCCTCCCTCCTGCCCCCTTTCGGCCGCCGCCTTTCCTACTCGATTCGACCAGCGACGAACCCATTGTCAGTCGTTGGTCGGCGGTTGTCGCGCGCGTTTCGCGCGGATCTATCTGTCTCGCTCTCGCCCCGTTTCCTCGCCGTTCTGTTCTGTTCTATTCTGTTCTGTTGTCCAGCTGTTGCCGCGAATTCTCGTCGACGAATACGGACTACGACGTCATGCGATTAACCGCTTTAAGACACTCGTACTTGGTGCATTCCGAGTAGCGGCAACGTTTTTGCTCGAGACCGATATTTTTCTCCGCCTGTGTGGTATTCGCGAAAACAGAAGGAAAAAAAAAAGAGTGCGACGAGGGTGAGGGAGAAGTGGAATGAACGAGGGACGAAAGTGCGAGTAGCGGATCTCTCTCTCTCTCTCCGTCTTTCGTTCTCGAGAGCGAGACTGAGCGAGACGCCGCGCGCTCGTCTCTCGTTCGATGCCGTGCCAAGTCGGGAGAGAATGCGGATTCGACCGTCCCTACGTAGCGGTAGCCCGAATCCCTCCTGTCGGCGACGAGCGCTCGACGACGTGCTCCACGATCACGGGAACGTTTTTACGCGAGTGCCCACGGGATCCTCGTTTTCGCCAGTTGCACTCGCGCGCGAGAGTGCGTCCCGGCGAACCTAACCTGCTCGGCCACGCCGGAATCCACCTTCTTTTCTGCCCACCCGCTGGTTCTATGAATTTTCAGTAAGTTTTTCCTTTTTTTTATCTTCGCCTCGATATCGCGAACAATTGACATTTCTTTTTGAATTTAATTTTTTTTTTTAATCTCGCGTATAAAAGCACGGTTAGCTTATGTAATTTGGAGATAATTTCTTCTTTTCTATCGCGTTCTTCAACGATTCGAAAATGGCGATTTATTAAAAATTGTTTCGCAGCAATGGGAGAGAGAGAGAGAGGGGGAAAGTCTCTATCTCTACGTTACATAAATTCTTAAAAATATCGCAATGTCAATTACAGTATTCGCACGACAAGTTTTTGTATTGTTGAGTTTCTACTCTAGCGCGACATCCAGTAGATATCGATTCTGTTATCAGATATTGATTTTATTAAAACCTTTTCAACATTTTCGGACTAGAATCGACTACTTTTTTGCTCTCACGATCAAGTCGTTATCGCTATTTGTAGACCGGATGTTGTACATCCGCTAATATCAAAGTTGCAACCGTAAAGTTGTACATGGCACAATTACCGAGCTGTAAAGTCAGTCAAAGTTAGTTAGTAAATTGGCTGACTTTTTTTTTTCTTACGTGTACACGCAGATTAAAAATTTGGCTAATAAGTAACGCCATTATAATTTATCTACTTAAAAATTAATTGTAAATATCACCCTGGGTGATTCTAAATTACAGATTCGATTAGGAAGAAAAAGATTGATATATATATATATATATAGTTGAAAATTATCAATTAAATAAAGTAGGTTTTGACACTAATTAACGTTGGCGCTCGTTAGTGGAATTTATTACAAATCGCCATAGGGTCTCTCTCAGACACGACGCGATGCCAGAACGAAAAGTTGCCTCGATCCGACGTATCATCGCGCCGAGTACCCTGTCTCGACCCTGATTATAACGCACTAAATAAAAATTGATAATCGGCGAATTTCACGGATTCCAGCCGGAGATATTCGGAGCGCGAGCGAATTTCTTCTTTTTTTTTTCCACTCGCGCAATCGTGAGATTGAGCGCAGGAGGAAGAAAGACGTGCGTTATCGTCGCGCGTAAACTCGTTAACGGATCGTGCTACGTATATATATATGAGACGCAACGCGGGCGGGAAATAGATAACGGGAGAGGAAGAACGCGCATCCGGTCTTATCGCGCTCGTTTCCGAACGGAATTAAAGGCCAACTTATATTAAACGTCGGAGATTCACGAGTTTGCGCATCAAAGAAGCTTTATGTTCTAGCATCGGCTAGTCTCGACAGGCTCTTACATCAATTCGTATATAAGATGTTGTAAATAATATTATATCGAGAAATACATACTTGTGTATTCTCCACAGACGGTTTTTCAAACGCGCCATTTTTTCAACTCGACTAAAATCGACATTATTATATTCGAGTCGATATATATATTTGATTACATATAAAATAGAATCCGGAATAAGAAGCTGAATAAATTTATCGTGCCCCTCTCTCTGTCTCTCTTTCGAGAGCAGTATTTGCAAAATTTTTGCGATAATGTTGCTTCGCACGAATTATAATGGTTCACGGTCGAAGACGTTTCGTAAATATTCGAAAATTTTTTCGCGTTATCGGGGTGTATAATCAAAACTTGTTAGTGCGGCGATTTTCGGTTGGTCGTGTACTTATCTAGACCGCAGAGAGGAAACTGATACCGGAGGAAGAACTTATCCGGTTCTTATCGTCGACGTTTCCGACTAGCAGTAAAAACTGTTTATGAGACGGTGCCAACTCGTGCATTCGCCTAGTATCGGGCTTTTTGCTTCGCTCGCTCGATTTAAAATTAGGAAAAGAGAGAAGCTTGCGCGAGCTTCATGAATATACATGTACCAACTATAAATATAACGTTCGAATATAAGTTTCACGTGTCTCTGCGAAATTACTTTCGCATACGCATACGCGTATTAACTTATTTTTTAAACAAGATTGCACAATTATTTATTTACGCGATTAATAAAAATGCAAACATGTAAATTTATATGAGGAAAAATTCTGTGTAAAAAATATCAAATTATAACAAATATTTGCATACTTTTTTCCCGGAAATTTGACAACTGTACAAACAAAAATTTTCGTCTCTTTTCTTTCTGCGCAATAATCCGCATTAATGACTCGCGATAAAGGTGTGTACGCGGATGCGTATATATATATAATATATATAATCATCGCGCCGTCATCGATTCATTTACCAGACATTTTCTGCAAGCTCCTTTCATTTTACGCGCGGCATTTTACGTACGATATTCGCAGTATTCATTTAATCGTTACCAGGAAAATCCGCAAAGACGCGCGATTAAATAAATTCAAACTGTTGACGCGAATCTCGAATCTGATCGGGGCGGGAAAAAATTATACGATCGAAGCGTTCGAGATACGCCGTCTTTTTTTCGACTCGTCGGAATATTTTGTACAGCATTCCCAAATAAAAACGAATATTACAAGATGCGTATTTATCAATTATGCGGTTTAATCGCGCGAATAAAATTGTCATAAATTAAAATTATCTCCGTGTTAAAAAAAGAAACTTGAGAATTTATAAAATTACTCGAAATCGTAATTTACACATCTGGAAAAAAGCACGCGAGCGTTATCGGAATGTTTCGAAATTATGTTTGACTAATATTTATATATTTCCAAACAATCGTTATATAATCGTGTATTTAAAGATATATATATATATATATATATATATTTGCAATTGCAAAATTTAGGTGGACGTATATAATTTGACAAGTCGAATAAAGAGTTTTTCCAGACAAATTTGTCGCGCATAATTTCTGGCTCTTACATTGTCGTATCCATTTTCGAAATTTCCTGAATTTTTGCATTTGTAAGGTAGAGCTTTTCCGTTTGATTAAAAAATTGTTCGCAGCCGAGGGGAGCGTTCCTCATCCAATTTGCATGGTTGTACGATGGAAGCTCACCGGCTCGCTCGCTCGCGAAACGCTCGTGTTATCTGCTCGGCGCGGACGGCCGGCTAAAAGCTTTGACCTATGGCAGTCGGTCGACGATAGCCGGCCCGCGCATTCCACTCCGAGCGCACCCTTTCTGAATGGCCCGCCTGTTTCTTCGCCGCGAAGATCGCGCGACGACTCTTTGCCACTATACTGCCGTCTTACGTAGCTTATTCTTCGCACGGAGAATCGGCCAACTTTCTTCAAAAGATCATTTATTAATCGAACCGTGCGATCTATTTTTAATCGATTAATTATATATTCTCTCGTTGATCGCGACAATAAAATAAATAAAATTGGTAAATGAAAGATCGATAGTAATGCAGCAGGATGGATATAATCGCATCCAAGTGCGTCGCTGTTGCTTACAGGGAGACAACGAAGCAGAGCGACTGATAACGGACGAGGCGAAGGAAACTCGCATCCGCACGATTAATGATCTCGCGATATACCCGCGATTCTCGGAAGGCGAACTTTAATAACTAACCGACTCGAAAGTTGAACTTCCTCGGCGTAGAAATCTATTCTTCGCCGCTATATTCTTCGATCGTTATTTATATGGCACGCGCTGACGCCGTTCCAGGTGAACGCGCGAAGGTGTACAATCAATGGCAACGACATTTCGAATGCAGCTTCGCGCGCTCCGAAAGTAGGATACTCGGATTTCTTCATCTTTCAACCAAGAGGAATTCATTAATTTAATTTTTTTATTCAACATTAATAAATTACAGCTTTATTTGGCTGAATAACAGGGCGAAAACGCTGACAACTCGCAATTAGTCGGTTAGATCTCGGATTTCGGAGGCACGTCACTGGCATAGAGTCGTCCATCTTTGCAAATTTATGGCTGATTACGTCGCATTTTTCTATTCCGCTCGAGAAGTGTCGGAAAAATGAAATATACTGAATATTTTTCGAGATATGCCGCGTCGCGTCGAGGACGCGATCGAACGAGATGCCGTCGTGGGCGCAACGCGAGTGGGCTGTTGACCACCGAATCGAGAACTTGGCGGCCCACTCGTTCTAGCGCGCGCGTTTCGCCCACGTAGAAGAAACCAAAGCTCTCTTAGCGTAGGTAGGTGCTGACGCCTCGCCGCGTCGTCGTACTTTGTCGTTGTCGAGTCAACCGCACGTTCCACGGATGCGGCACCATTATTCGCGATTAATTTCACACATTTTTCTCGTCTCGGACAAGTGTTCCGTTTGATGGAAAGAGCGTATTTAAAAAAAAAAAAAAAATATATATATATATATATATTTAATATAGTTTAAGAAAAATACAGATGACACCAGACATAACGTTCTCGGTTGCAATGGTTTCAGGTGGGGATGAAGCGCGTGTCGCGAGGGCGAGAGGAAGCGGACGCGGAGCATTACCGAGCCCCATCCTCGCTAATGGAACGTCCTCGTCGAGAGTGCCACCACCTCGCGCGGGCTGGGCAGTGCGGATTACCGAGGCGACACTTACTCCAACGACTCCAACGTCAAGTCAGAGTCCATCGGGTACAACACCGTCGACGGCTGTCGAACGATGGGCTAGCGAGCGAACGGCACCGGTTTGGACGGGTCGTGTCAGCAGCAGCAGCAGCAGCAGCAGCAGCAACGGGATCAAACACACAAGAAGGATCGTTGTTCGATCGAACGGATCCAAGAGCCGAGGGACCAGTTAGCGGGGCTGGTATCCGTCTCGAGCGTCGTTGGATCGAGGAGAGGGAGAAGCTGGAGGCGACGAAGAAGGTGGAGCGACGGCAGCGTCACTTGGAGACCCATAGCCCAGGAGGTGCAGCAGCAGGTCATCTCGAACTGAGCGGTCGGCCGATGTCGCGCAATAATGCGATCCCGCCGTTCTCGCGGCCTCCTTCCTCGCGAACGAACGTTGCGGACGATTGTTTCGTCATCGGTGAGGACGCCACGTCGCGCCTCGTCGTTCCCGCCTCTCCTCGCGTGCACGATCACACTCGACCGTTCCCGCCACCAAGGTTACCGCCCGTGCACGCGGTAACGACGGTCCCGTCCGTGCCACCGCCCCCACCTCCGCCACCTCCACCGGTGTCGGATAACGTCGCGACGACGACAACGCTGTCCTCGTCGTCGTCGTCGGCCCCCGGGACGCCAATATCCCGGATAGCGGCGACGTCCTTTACCATGCCTCTGACCCCGTTATCGAGTTCCTTCCGGAGCAGACCGTCGTCCCTGCGCCGTCCGCAGAACGCCGAGTCGCCGGGCGACGCAAATTCCAGGAGTCTACTGTCGCCGTCGTCCACGGACACGTCGACGACGACGATCGCATTGTCGCCCAGGAGTCCCGTCGGCGAGGTGAGCCTCGCCGCGCCGCGACCAGACGGCGAGAGGACCATCAACGAATACGTCGAGGCGCCGTTCAAGCACTCGCGTTGCAATCAGGAACGACGCCTCGACGCCGATAGCAAGGCCGTCGTTGGCGATTGTCCCAAGAGCGAGAGGAGGCATCACCACCACCACCATCACCACCACCACCATCATCACCATCACCATCATCCGCGGAGTCACGAGGATGCCACCACGGTGGTACCGACTCATCGGACGCGAGGTCGCGCGAGGACGCAGGGTTTGCGTGCCGGCGCTTCCTCGCCCATCGTCGCGTCCAACGCGGCGAACGCCACGGGAGCCAACATCATCACCAAGCAGCCAGTGTCCTTCACTAAGGAGCCGGCGAACGCTCTCGGCGCGAGGACCGCTTACGATTCGGCGAGCCTCTCCATCATTTGCGACTTTTGCGGCAAATGTCGATGCGAGTCGTGCCGGGAGCCACCTCCGTTGCCTAGCAAGTGGCTCTGCGACAACACGTGCCTGTGCTCGGCCGAGACGGTCTTGGACTACGCGTCTTGCCTCTGCTGCGTCAAGGGTCTCTTCTATCATTGCGCGGATGGCGGTAGCGGCGGTGGCGTCGCCAGCGACATGGACGACGAGGTGACGATGAGCTGCGCGGACGAGCCGTGTTCCTGCACCGGTAACCGCGGAGCATCCAGATGGGCCTGCCTGAGCTTCCTCACGCTCTTGATGCCCTGTCTGCTGTGCTACTGGCCCTTGAAAGGTTGCGTCACCCTCTGCGAGTCGTGTTACGCGCGTCACGCTGCGCAAGGCTGCCGGTGTAATCCGAACGCGATCGGCGGTAGGCATCATCCCATCACCAGCGAGATCGGCGACTCGAGGGACCCGGAGAAGAGGCTGCTGGATCCGGTCACGCCGGAGCTCTGAACGGATTATTTCAGAGACGCGTCGTCGCCACGTGTCTCGTACTCGTGTTATCTTTGTGACTGAACGAAGCGATTGGACTAGAAATACAGGACAGGATCCCGCTGACGGACATGTGATGCGAGAGTGTCAGTGGGAGCGAGAGTGAATTGTTGCATCAAGTACAAGAGCTGCATTTAAATATCGAGAGGAGAACGATATCGAATTTTGACGAACTTGTGTACGTTTTAACGCGTCGCGAATGTCTTTATTTATTATTCTTCCATGAACGAGCAGTGCGCGCGTGCACGTGTCGGTATGCTTTTTACATGCGCGAGAAAGAGAGAAAGAGCGCGAAAAAGAGAACGGTGTGTCTGTGTGTGTAAACGAGTGAGCGTCTGTAACGTTTTGTATGCGCGAGTTGTGAACGATAGAGAGAGAGGGAGAGAGAGAGAGAGAAACGAGGTATACGCGAACTAGCGTATCGTCCAGACACATACCACTTACGCATAGATAACTCTATAATGTTATGAATTATACGCATTGTACCACGCGCCGAGCAAAATTCTACGACGAACGCTAATTTATCGGGGTTGGGGAAGGGGGGAGATTACAATACACAGAGTAAATAAAAGTTAAAATATATATAAATATATATATGTATATATATATATATATATATATATATATATATATATATATGTATGTATAGATAGAAATGTATATTGTATATTACGTTTGTATAAAGAACAAACTTTTCTACGGTTAATTTATTTGCGGCTGTAACGCTAAGTGTACGGTTCATGAAGAAGGCGATTGATGGAATGAGGGGGAGCGTAAAAGCGTAATTGTACATCGATAACGCATGGACCAATGGCCGCTGACAAGTCCGTTAGTACGACGAAAGTTTTCCGATGATGAGGGAATTACAGACAGAAAGGAGAGAGAAAGAGAGCAGGATGGAAATCGATTTACATTTTTTGGCTATATAATCGGATTTGTAATGTTTACAAACGATGACGTCGAGAATAACGAGGGAAGAGACGGAAAATGGCGAAGGTCTCGCGTTTCCATTTCGTTGAGGTTTTCTCTAGTATTATCTAGTCCTGCGAGCATTCTTTTTCTCAGCGTTCGTTTTTAGGGCACGGGCCACACGTATACACGCGCGCGCGCGGAAATGGAATCGCGAGAAAGAGGAAGTTGCCTCCTTTCGCCCCTTTTCGTCTACCGGTGATTTCGTTCGATATAAATATAGACTCAAGATCGGTAACGTCGCAGGCAAATTCGCGAATTCCATTCTCTCTCTTTGTCCCTCTTTCGTGAGGCACTAGGTAGCGGCAAATGCGTACGATTTAACACTAGAACCGCTACCAAGTTTAAATTGTCGTTTCACGCGTTTGCAACTTTTGACAACTTCTTACAATTTGCAGGTATACATGATTTTAGTTAAAAGATTTCGACGGTTCTCGAGGTCGTGTCAGGGACATGTGGTTCTAGTGTTGAACACTATTTACGGCGATTTTGCTCCATTAAAATTCATCCCCGCGCTAGATAAGATCGAAAGAACCCGAAGTATGGCCTTTTCTGTTTTTTTCAGAGCGATTCCTCAGAGCAGAGAGTCGCGCGATTTTAGCATTTCAGCGCGAGGCGTGGGCGAATGATGCGTGCGAATGTACGAATAAGTTGATGATCGAGTGTAACTGGGCTGAGATTGCATGGGTAAATAATCGCGAGTGGACGAATCGAGAACGGGTCATGCGACGCTGCAAACGTCGTTGCACGTTCTTCTGGATATTTAGAGCGCGCTCCTTCTTCCTTCGGAAAGGAAATAACTCGGAGTAATCGGAATATCGGCGAAGCTTATATTCCGGAGAAAAAAAATTCATCGATTTATGTTTGCTTTTCACATTTTGTTTCTTATATCAAAAGTTACGGAGCACAGATCTTATAATTTTCGAAGAATGTAGAAGGAATCGCGAGAAAAAGATCGTGCAAAGATGGTTTGCGTCGTCTGGGAAAAATATAAAGATACCGTTGTAGAAAAGAATGACGAGAGTTTGGTACTATGTGCGTGTGTATCGATAGCATTTCTTTTTTTTCCAACTCTTTCTCTCGACAGCAGGAATAAGAAGCAATCGGGAAGATGAGAGGATAATCGAGAGGAGCGTGTTATAGTCTCGATCGCGAGAACGACTAAACGGCGTGAAGAAGCGTAACGAGGTTTTTTTTCATGAAAGACGAATGATGCGACGTGAAGAGAGAACGCCAAACTATACCGAAGCGAGACGAGTCTTCTGTCCTTTCGCGAGATGATTACATGGTTTTAACTACCGTGCGCGCTTCTCTTGTCAAGGCGTAGGTAGCGAACGATTTTTCTTATACCTAAGCGCAAAAACATCCAAACGAATCTTTGGAATCGAACTTTTCGATCTTGAAATCCGATTCTCTTTCTAGTTCTAATTCGAATCTAGATACTAGAAATGAGATCTCCGCGATACACAGCGACATGGATATATTTTATTTCGTGCGCTTTTGCTTCGAACGCCTATGAAAATCGCGACTCGTTCGCCAAAGACAACAATGCGATTGCACACCGATCGACTGGTGAAGGCGCGAAAGGACACGAAGGCGTGAATGGAACGCGAGTGTATGTATATGTCGCGTGTATGTGCGCGCGCGTGCGTATGTGTGAGTGGGTGTGCGCATGTCTCTGTGTAACGTATGTAGGTGTTTGTATGCGCGCATGCGAGTGCGTCTCAAGCGAGAGAAAACAAGTTTTTATTAATATTAGGTCTATACGATCTGTATATGTCTTGTAAATATATATATATATATACATATATATATATACGTATATATATATACATGCATAGACTATGTATATTACTTGTGCATTTATATATTCAACCAATCTCGCACTTCTCCCGCATATCGATCCTAAAATTTTCTTTCCTCGTACAAGTTGCATTCTCTCTATTTATATTCCAAATTGTATCTCTGCGACATCTTGCAGCTAGCTAGCGATAGCTTCTAAAGAGGAGAATTCCACCAGCTTGACTCTTCGTTGGATTTCGTTTCTAGTTGATTCCGTCCACGGGAGAGTGAATCTTTGCGTTCTTTCGTCGTCGTTTGTTTGCTCTGCAGCGCAACCGATCTCGACAAGGCTCGATCGTTACCGAGAGAGGTCCCGGATCATCATTAGCGGGCAATTGAATGCACCGCGGCGAAGGAAGAGCGAACGGATGTGAGTCCGTTAGCTCGCGGGACGTGCAGCTCTGCCATTCGTTGCAGCCTCGCGAGCTGTTCCTCGATATAAAATAACCGAGGTAGCGGTCTGCGAGTGTTAACGCCGGGAGATTGCGATACTACGCGGTTGTAATTCATTATTAGCCTACATTATCCGCAAGAGACCAAACTATGTGTCGAGAGATTTTCAAAGGTCGAAATAAGAGGAAAACGCATGGGTCCAAAAATGTTGAAGTTGGGGGGAAAAATTGAAAAATCGTATCGGAGACTTTTTCAATAATATATTCGAAATTCTGAATCGACCAAGTTTCCTCGGAGTCGAAAAGCAGCAGCCGTCCATCTGTTTCTCTCGTTCGTGACCGATTTACGATGCCTTCGCGTTAATCGAAAAGAGAGAGAAGACGCTGAAGAGGAAGAGGGGAGGGGGCGTGGAGAGGTCCGGACGACGAGCCGAAAATAAGAAGAGAGCAAAGTGGTCCAGCGGTGTCATGTGACCGGAAGTAGCGTTCCTTCCTCGCCTCTCTGCCGCCGTCTTCCACGAAACCTCGAGAGAAGCCAGTACCACGGCTCTCCCTCTTCCATCTTTTCTCCTGGTCCCTCGCCTCGTGCTCTGTTACTTATCCCTTCCTCCACGCTCGAACGAACACGCAGCAACAACGGAAGATTGCCCTCTCTTAGCGACTCGTTAAGCATGTCAAAAGAGACATCGGGGCATCACGAGGGACGTCGACAATGGATTTCCGCGTTTAAAGCGCGATGTCGAGATACCAGTGAAAATCATCTTCCCTTCCCTCTCCTTTCTTCCCTCATATCCTCTAATTGACAAGTCGAAATAAAACGTGGGAGTAGTCGATAGGTCTGCTGTTCCTTTCAGTCGCCCTATATTATGCACTTTCTAAAGAGAAGAAATATACACGTATACTCTGGCGTTGGAGAAAAAATTGTAAAAAGAATGCGCGATATTTCAGATATTCAACAGAACAGAGAAAATATATATCGTAGAATGGAAATATGTCATTCTGTGTGACTTGAAAATATGAATGTTACATCTATACCTACTACATGTACAGGTTTTCTTTAGAGCCGCTAAATTGCAGGATGACATCGATCTGATTTCAAGGTATTGAAATAGGAAGCCAACAAGTGACATAACGTTTCCACTCTTCCGCTTCTAAGCGTCAACATCGATATTAACATCGATATCGAAATAATAAAATCCACGCAAATCGATCTAAAAGTTCGCTTCCTTTAAACTAATTCGAAAGAGAAGAGCGTTTTACACGCTCTCGTATCGGGATAGAATTCGCACAGTTCTATACTCTGGCAGATCGCGGGCTAGGGTGGCCGTTCTTTGATTTCTAAACATCATCGAAAGTGCGATGGCGGATTCTTTTCGAAACCCGAATGAGCAAAGGACAGAAATAGTCGTTCTCATTTCGAAGGACACGAAATCGGCAAACGCGTTGATTCAAAGGTCGCTGTGGCGAGCACATGACCACACCACTGTCACGGACAAAGACCTTCGACGAGTCCGGCTCTCTCCGGCGCGGATGTCATCCGCGGCGTGTCGAGCGAGTGGACACGAGCCTAATTTTAGGGTCCGTCCGAAGCGAAGGCGAAGACGAAGAGAGGAAGAGAAGGCCGGGAGCTCTGCGGCGGCCAAGCGGAAAGAAGATGTTTTTCTCGCGAGCGAGCGGAGAGAGAGTCGACGTCGACGTCGACGTCAACGCGTCATGTTTTCGCGACCAAGCCGGCCGCGCGAGTGTTCTATATTAAACTCCGGGGCAGACCTATTGCGCGAAACGGACGCCCTGATATTTTCGTTGCATCGCGCGAGTAACTGCTTCCGGTCGAGAGTCCCCTCTTTCTTTCCCTCTCCATCTTTTTAGCTCTCTTTCTCCACCAACTCGTCGTCCCTCTCCTTCTTCTGACTCTATCCTGGCTCTCTCGACCGTCTTCTTCTGGATCGACGGGCGCAGGCGGCCGTGCTTCTTCAGCCGGCCGGAAACACCTACGCACTCGCTGGTAGCGTGTGAGAGCGCTATAAGGTGGGACGGAGGCAATGGGATAAGCCTACTCACGAGAGATTGCTGTCGTCGACGACCTCCTTGCTTCTTGCTCTTATTGCGTTTCTCCGTCTCCTCTTCGCCCTCGCTCCGTACCTTCTCTCTCTCTCCTTCTCTTTCTTTCTCTCTCTCTCTCTCTCTTCCCTTCCTCCGCCCCGTCCTCTCTGTCGACCCGTACGATGGAATTCATCCAAGTTTTTTGCGCCCGCGAATAAACACCACCGTGCGGTGGTGGGAAGACGGCCCAACCCGATCGGTTCTCTCCCTCGGTTCTTCTCCTCTTTTCCCTTTGATATTTATTTTTTACTTCTCCGGGAAGAGATGGAGAGAGAAAGAGAGAGATGGAGAAAAAGAGAGGAACGCACGCAATGGTGTTTATGGTGAAATACAGAGGGGCAAAGCTTCTCTCGGCGCGGAATCTAGCCGAAGCATTATTCGAGACCACTCTCTTCAACGTCCAAATTTTATCTACTTCAAAATCGATCCATTGGGAATTATATATATGTATCAACATGTGTCTTTTTCTTTTTATAAAGTTTGTAGAAAAATATATCTGCAAAGAATAGAACAGAGAAGATTTCTGTATATGTTAAGTACAAAAAACATGATCTTTCCAAAATCAAGCCATACAAGGGAACAATGCGAAGATCTTAACTCAATTAGAAGACGTTACTTATTCAGCGAAAATAAGAACGAAAAGGAGAATAATTTTATATCAATAGTAGCGGATTTGAATTTTGATAGATATAAATAACTACGCATACATTTTGTTGCAAGTTGGTAAAATTAAAATAACAAATATTTAGAGTATACGAAATGATTATGATCATTTCCCATCTTGTAATTTTAATTAAGTATTATGTATTATAATTTCACGATTTTTCTCTGTCCTGACTTAAACATTATACATGTATCATAGTGCATTAAACTTTTCTCGTTGTTTCCCGGTTATTGCGTACAAGTATGTATAATTTTAAAAAAGGAAAAAAAATATAATAGTTAAATATAACAAAAATTGAAAAACGATAAGATTAAAATTGATCAATTTTAATAAAATCCTCATATTAAATTGATTTCAGATAAAAGTACTATAACGTTTTTACTAGATTTTCATTTCTTATTGATTTATACATTCGTAAGGTTTTAACATGATCAAAATGAGAATTAATAACCTGTACAGCAAATTCTTGATTAATCTTAATCAAGGAAATAATATCACATAATGTAAAAACTTTAGTACAAGCCTTATGTGATGGAATTGTCTGCCGTAGGTTCATCGGATCGTTTTATTTCTTCTTCACTCGTAGTTTCATTCTGCTCAGTTGTATCTTCAGTTAATTTAGGTTCTTCTTCCTTTTCAGATACTATCAATTTGTGATATTGGCTTCCAATTAATGGCAAATGAGGTGCTATTGCACTTGGCTCCAAAAAGAGTGCCGGAGAAACCTTACAAAATAATATTTTTAATTTGTATATATCAAATTCTCATAGTAATATATAAAACATAAAAAGTTTATTATTAATAGTGTACATTGAAAGTTATTTTTATTGATTATTCATTTATTGCAACAATTGAAAACTGTAACCATCAGGTTTAAGTTAAATAAAAAGTTGTGTAACAACATACAAAATGAAAGTTGTAAGTCCTTAGTGTTTTAATTGAATATTTAAAATTTGACACTCTTGATATTCTAATTTCATAATGATTGTATCATTATGGATATATATATATATTATATTACTTACTCGAATATCTTGAACCTTAGCTTCTCGTGATGTATACTCGCGTAATAAGTAATTTTTACCAAATTCGTGGTAAATACGGGTATCGTTTATCCTCAGCATTACATTATCAATTCTTAGAAAATACCGTAATAATATAAAAAAACTACTGGGCATAACTCTCTGTGTATACAATAAAACAGAAATTATTATAATTTGTACGTGTCATTTGAAAGTTATATATGTTATAACTTACAATTTTGACCGAGTTTACTGCAATGCCATTGTCATGAAGTTCATCCTCAAATAATGTTAAATCGTGATAAAACATAATCTTATCTCTCTGCCTTAATTTATCCATATCAATTCTCTCATTTGTTTCTTCAACTTCAAAGCCCGACATTGTACCAGTGTAATTAGTGGTAAATGTCCAATCAAAAGGCTTTATCTTCTCTTCTAAATATTCACTACTTTCCGATCTGTTGATATACATTAAAAAATGGTAAATTATATGCAATAACAATCATGTATAAATTTAAAAAGAAGCAAATAACTTTGATGAACCTGGATTCTTTCCATGCTTCTGCGCAAGCAAGCTGTACATTAATCTTGCCATTGGAAACATATCTTAAGGAATCCAAAGCATTGAATAGCAATGACGCTCCATCCTGATGTGTCAGAGTTAACACGTTATTGGGAAACACCATGTCTGGCATATGTGGCAGTTCTAACGCATTACTATATCTAAAATATTTAAGAATATACTTGTCAGATATATGTATCTCTACATTACAATCTTTTCAAAATAATTTAAATATTTTAGCAATCAACGTACACGCAAAACTGACAGGCGGTCTTGTCATCAGAACCACAGCCACTTTCGCTTTTAGAACACTTAGAATGGAGTATATGGGATTGCGTGTATTTGATACGCCATGGAGGGCAAATATGTTCCTCTTCATTTACCGGTAATCTTAAAATGTCGATACCACCGTGCACTTTTACAGCAGTCATGATCTAAAATTAAAAAAAGATTCTTGTTACATCAAATCAATCTAGCATAGGTTGGAATGAGATGGTCGAGGAATGAGATCCAAACGATATCTCAGATATTTATAATCGTTTTCACTTTTATCTTTTCGTGTCGATAAGATAAAAATTAAGTATATATATGTTATTAATGTCAAATTAATTACCATTACATTATGAAATATATATATATATATATATTTACATTTTTTACTTACTCTATATCAAAAAGGAAGATTCGATTTTACTTTTCTAATCAAATAAAAGTTTTCAAGAAACATTCGCGTCCAATTCGTATATCGATTTTTTATTTACATCATTATATTGACAGTTTATATATTTTTTTGTGAAACGTGATTTCTCTCTTTTCTTATTTCGGTTCAAGATAATAACTGGATGTAAATTTGGACAAAGTTAATGAAAGAGACGACGTAGCGAAATCAAAGCGAGAGTTGGTTAGGACACTTGGCCTTTTTGACTGGCGCGTTTTGATCCGCCATATTTAATACCAGCTGTGTTCGAAAATCTACTCAACTTCGACGACTAGATTCTCCAACGAAATTGTAAAACGCGATTGGTTATCGTTCGGGTGGCAACAATATGGCTTACCTTTTAAACTAGCGCACTGGCTGAATTTGCGATGAATTTATTTGTCTGTAGTTTTACCTTATCAATGACAAACTGCAGAATGCAGCCGGCACGATGGCACACACACACACACACACACACATGTACAGTATTTAACCTATTTAATTTAAATTTAGTTTGTAATCCGTTTATTATGCTTTATTATTATTATAAATATTCGCATTGCATATATTAAATAATGTTAATTTTTATCGTAAAATACGAGGTAAGATTAATTTTTTATTTTTCTTGAAAATTAAATTTTATTATTGATATAAACTTCTTATTCTTTCTCTTGATTTAGTTTATTATTTGTTTTTATAATATATAGTGGTGTTTTATACGTGCGCTCTTTAAATAAATTATTCCAGACGAATTATATATATATATATATATATATATTTTTTGTCATAAAGCTTCCGATATATAAAATATGTAAAAATATATACAAAAAAGTTTCAATGACAATTTTATTAATAATCTGTGAAAAGTACCTAACTTTTAGCTGTACCCAAGATTTTAAATATTAGAAATTTATTTCGGTATGAATAGATATAGTATACATCATTTTTCATTGTCTCTTAATTAACGCTCCTTTTTTTTATCGCGCTTTAAATTCTTTTTTGCAAGTATTACTATTGCATATATATTATGCTTTCCAGTGCACGATATATTCTCGACGTTCGTATATGCAGTTCGAAATGCAGAAAAAGACCCTCTACTCGAAGATCGCCGATCAGTCTTCTTCGAGTGTTCGACGTGTCTGCGCCGTTCTTGGAAAAACGTGGGCGCGCGTGACGAATAATGACGAATAACAACAAGTGTAATTCGTCCGTCGAGTTCGGCGCTACGACCGATGGCGAGGATGCTAAGGGAAGATTCTTCGAGGAAAAAACAATGCGGAGGATCAAGTCGATCGCCGGTCACGCGGGTCTGCTAACCGCTCTGATGCTTTACACCGCGATCGGCGGACTGGTGAGTCTTCAAACGCGGATGACAATGCATCGAAAATGCACGATATAAAGTATAAACTTATATCAATTCGACGATGGGAGAAAATAGAAGAGAGAGAAAGAAATTATAATATAAAATTAAAAATTATAATTATAATTCAAAATATATTAAAATATATTAAAAATTATTAAATATATTAAAATATATATATATAAATATATATAAATATATAAATATATATATAAATATATTAAATATATTAAGAATTATAATTATAATTATCCGTAACGTTGACGTCTTTAAAGTTGTTGATCGAGATTTTGAAAATTTTCAAACATTTTTCTTCTTCAGATAAATTTTTAAAACCTTATTAATAAATTTATATATTTTCTTTTCTACATTTTTTATTCTTATATTTACAATTGCAATCGCAATGTTCAATTTTTGAATATATATATTTTTAAGTAGTGTTATATAAGACACGCGCATAAAAAAAAGAGATAAAAAGCGAGATGCAACATTCCGATGATATTCTAAAATAATTATTCGTGCATTCGAATTTTTGTTTTCGGAAACGTCGAGATTTCCAGCGCGAAGTTAAATGTATATATATTCGATGTTCCATAAATATTTACGTTTTATAGAATAACGAACGAACTCTTGTAGCCTACCGAATCGTACACCTTTATTTTTAGCAATGGACCAATCTTGCAGCTCAGTAGGAAGTATATTACCACTGACGCCTTTTCAATGAAGTCTGATAAAAATACCATGCGTTGAAATTCTCGATGGTCATGATTTTTTGAGTGCCTCATAATACACACCGCAAAAATATAGTTACACATGTATTTCAATCGATAAACAAGTCTTAATAAACTTGAGTCACTTGCGTTTATACATTTTTCATGTAAAATGTGTGTAAAACATTAATTACAACACACATACGCACACACATTATTTGTATATTATACAATTAATTATAACGAATATATAAATGTGATAATTTAATTTTACTAGTAAATGCTTTTTTCCAAAATAATTATAATAATAATACAAAATAATATATTCTCACTTTACTGAGCCATCTTTAAATAAACTCTTTATGTGGTATAATTATTTACAAGTCAAATTGATGAAGATTTATTAAAAGTTCAGGATTATTGTAGACAGAAGGATATGTTCGCATAAATATAAAGCATACATTGATTCATTAGCTTAAAGTGCATCTAGCACTTGAGACTCGAGAGTGATATATTTATATATTCTATGATAGATCTGTTGATTTATCATTAGCTTTGATCGTTAAGGCAATCTCGTTGTAAAAGGATATCGATGTACATATATACATACATATACATACATATACATACATACATATATACATATATGTACATCGATATATATCCTTTTACAACGAGATTGCGACATATACAATATATATACCCAGATAGCCACAGTAATTATTATGACATCATTTTGATGTCAAAATGCATCATTTGCCATCAAAATAATGTCACAATAATTACTGTGGCTATCTGGGTATATATATCGTACCTTTTCCTAACATCTTTACATACCTACGCATAAAATTAATTTGATATATTACAAGCAGTTCAAGTTTGCGCGTATCTTCGGATATGACTTGTTGCATAAAATTGTTTTTCTCAAAGTAGATAATTTTAACTGCCACCTTTCTCCAGGTGTTCCGGCAGATTGAACTTCCGGCGGAGCTCAGCCGACTCGAACATTTACGCGCAAAATTACGCACGCAACGATATCGTTTTGTTGAGTCCATTTCCAACAATACGGACGTCTTCAATTTGCGAACCTTGGTGAGAAACGTCAAATGATTAAAAATATACGAGTCTCTTCGTCCATTCGTCATAACATAATCGCCTTTTTCAGGTAAGCGTGAAATTGCGCACCTACGAAGAAGCTGTTCAGGAAGCGGCTGAGGCTGGGCTCTTGGTCAGTTTTGTAACGGATATCATAAATCAGGATGTTCACGCTGAATCGGATCTGGCACCCATCGTAACCGAAAGGTGGAATGTTTTCCAAGCAATTTTTTTTGCCAGCACCGTTCTCACTACAATTGGTAATCCTCGGTCCTGATTACTAGCAAAGAGTTTATTATTTACACAGAGAGCATTTTCTCTTAGAATTTTTACTTTAAAAATCGCATGGTAATCGTGAGACACTATGGTATTGAAAGAATTTTACAAGAATTTCTCTGATTAAATATTTACCACAAAAAATTTTAATTCTATTATAATAGATATAAAATATGTTTGATTAATTTTACTATATGTACATATTAATATTTTTTATTAATCAGAGAAACTTTTATAAAATTTGTCCAATGTCATATTCTTTCACGATTACGTGATTTTCAGGATAAATATATTTTAAGAGAAAATTCTCTCCATGTATCTGAGAAGAAATATAGAAATCAGTATCTTATTCTGAAAAATCCTAAATCAAATGTCATCTCAAAAAACATTAAAGATTTTTGTCATCTATATAGTCTTTTAATTTTCTTTATGACGATTTATATTTGTTTATAGGATACGGTGATGTTGTGCCCTCGACTAATTGGGGGAGGATTTTCTGTATTTTCTTTGCTCTCGTCGGTATACCTTTCACCCTGATCGTGATTGCCGATTTGGGAAAGCTGTTCGCAGAAGGAGTGGTACATATTGCGTTGACGTTAAAATTGAAACTTCCATTTCGCGCGAAACTCTCGTGCGTTCCGACAAATGTAACTGGTCGACGATCGCTCGGTGAGTTTAATTCGGAGATTTCAGTCGATTTTTATATCTGATTCACGATTTTCTTATGTAGGCGCCTGTGCCGCTATTGTGTTACTCTTCCTATATCTCGCTTGCGGGGCTGGTATGTTTATGCTGTGGGAGGACGATTGGGACTTTTTCGATGGATTTTATTTTTGCTTCGTAACGATGACCACCATAGGATTTGGTGATCTTGTGCCGAGTAAGCAAAACTTTTTCCCAAAAAAATCTACAAATATTATTATTATATTTGGTCAATTTTAACGTTTCTATATTCTATAAAAATGTAGAATTTTTTATTTAATTAAAAATAATTAAAGCTATTAAAGCTATAAAAAGATTCATGTTGATCTGTTAGGTGATAATAATTATAAATCATTGCTATATATATATATATATACTAAAAACGAAAATTGTTCCGGTAATAATTGATAATTTGTATTTGTATACCATGTAAAATCTACACTACAATTCAAATGCAAATTGTATAATATTTGTTGCGTTTTAGAGAAGCCCAAATACACTTTATTGTGTACTTTATACATCTTGGTCGGCTTGGCGCTGACTGGCACCATCATTGAACTCGTCAGACGACAATATGCTCAATCTTGGAGAAGACTGCAAAAACTAAGTGGTCCATTAGCTGAAACTCTTAGGAAACTCGGCGAACAAGCGGGCGGTGACATGTCCGCGCTACATTCTGATCTAAGGTTTCTATCGTATTCTTTAATTCTTCCAAAAATTAAGTAATATTAAATCAAAATAATTATTATCAAATTATAATTTTTTAAATAAATTGTAATCTCTAATATAACCATTTTAATGACTAGGAAAGTACTAACTGTTATATCTATGCCGCGACTGCGATGGGCTACTTCCATTGATCATGATGTCACGATGAAGGATCAGGATTGGGAGGAAGCTGTGGAAGCGGTATTACGCGACATCGCCGCATCCGCGACAATGCCGCCGCCCAAAAAGCCGATCGTACAAATTGTCGTTTACGAATCTAACGTTTAACGCATTCTCAAGAATAGGATATTTAGAAAGAAATTCATCGCGTTAATTTCCGGACGCATTTCTCGTCCGCAACTACATCTTGTATCGTATATTATCGCTTGTCTACGCGCAATCTAGCTATTGCCGCTTTATATTTCGCGCGCTTTATATTCCACCATCGCGTCAACATAACGCGGTCGATGAAAAGCTCCGTAGGCGTATAAGTTGCGACTCGTGCGTCGATTGTCGTGTCCTCGACGCGACACGCGAGGTAGTCAAGGTGGAAGGAACAGAGTGCGGCGAACTAAATTTAGGAGTCACGAACCTTGACTCTAGCTCGACCGAATCGTCGCGAGTCTCGTCCAAAGTGTCCGGCCGGAACGATGACGGATCCCGAGCTCGACGAGCGAACCTCGAGTATCGTGCGCATCGCGTATCATGTGCGTATAATAATAATGGCAGTGATCCGACTGTTATGTATAGTAACAAAGTATTATTTAAATCGCTTGCAAACTGTCATACCTTCAAATCCGACTTTTCTTCCATTTGATTTTACGTAAAATTTTTATATATAATATCAGTAAAGTATACATACATACATACACACACATATATATATATATATATATATATACATATATATGTCTAAGGGAAGAAGGGAATGTAGCTCTAATGTTATGTATGATTAAAAGTGAATTTATAAATTATATATAATTGTCGAGCAACAAGTATTATCTATACATGTACACCGCGTCCGAAAACTGGAGTATTTTAATTTTTTTCGCGCAACGCGTTCTCACGTCTGTTTACGCCGCTTGTTTTGCAGCAATTGAGCATCATGTGTGGCACGTACGATCCCACCAGGTCGACGAGCGTCGATACCGCCGCGAACGCCGACGCGGATGCACGCAACATGATGTGCACGCGTCGATTGTTGGCGCTGCCGGTGTTCGCCTCGGTGTCATTGGCTCTTCGCAACGCTTACGCGATTACGAGGGATTCGCACAAGTCGATCGCGACGATTTTGGACGGTGCGGAGAACGGGGTGCGCAAGGGATTGGAATTTGCGAATCCGATGACCGCCAGGATCGCCGACGTTCTGGAAACGCCGATCGAAGCGATAGACAAGGCGGTATGCGTCGGGCTCGACTTTGTTGAGGAGAAGATGCCCTCTGTAAAATTGCCGCCCGGTCAGATTTATGCGAACATGAAGGACGGTGTCAGGTGATGACCTATCTAGCTACATATCGAGCGATTAATAACATCCAAAAGCACGGATCTTCTATATGAAGATACTCTTTGTATATATACAGAATGTTTTCTATAAAACTACATGTCATTATAAATATTTTCTTTATTAGAAATGTTCAATTTTCAACATTATATTACATTCCCAGATAGCACAAGCTATTGAAAAAGAATTCATTTATATGTCACCAATTTCGAGTCTTTTTCAAATACATATAGAATTCATTTTGTAAAATGAATTCTATATATATTTAAAAAGGGACTCGAAATTGGTGACATACAAGGTGACATATACAAATGTATTCTTCTCGAATAGCTGTGCTATCTGGGTTTCTTTAAAATTATGAAAAAATTAATAATAAGAAAACTGCGGAGTTTTGTCTAAATGCAACTTTAAATCAATACATTATTGATTATTATAAATTCATAAATATTATTTGTTCTTTTATTAATAGTTTTTAACATTTTTAATATGCTAATTACTCAAAATCTGGCTTTATAATTTCCTTGAGGAAACATCTTGAAATCGGCTAAGAAATCTGTGCTTAAAGGACATTTAATGATTTTGAATCCCTACAATAATAATAATAAATTAATGCTTTTACATTATAGGAATATCTTTACATCGGCGTTAGAAACGCTTAGGCTTTTGTTCGGGAGCACACAAAATCAAATAGAAGATTTATCAATTACGAGCGAGACTGCACAAGGAAAAAATAGAAAAATATCTAGTTGAATTGCGAAAATGCGAAGAATAATTCTTGCACCATCATTGTAATTTCGCTATAAGATATATCATTTGCGATTGGTGTTGAAAATCAATTCATTCGCTATAACAAGTTGTAAGGATTAATATATAAAACATTGAGATTAATCGGCATGCAATAACAAAATGCAACTGTCTTGATGACAAGTAAACATTCGTCATTCATGTGAATGCGAGGTGATATCCTGAAATTAAAAAAAAACAAATCAATAATTGCGAATGGATATCTGACGTTGAGATATATCTTTGTACAATAACATATATATTATTTTAGGTTGTTACTTAAATAAATCCTATTTCTGTTTTTCAATTTAATATCCAGATGATTTACATTATAAGCCGTATATAGAGTCGTGTCATCATTTAAATATATCTTATATTTAAATTCGCGCCAGGCAAATAGTCGTCTCGTCGATTTATCTCGAATCGCAAATGCAACATCATATGTTAATAATCAGCTTGATGACGTCATCGATTCAACATCAGTTTATATAAACGAGTCGATTGAAATAACAAAGAAATGTGAATAACAATTATGATACCGTTTGCGTAAAAAATAATAATAATAATAATAAAAGAAAAGCTATTCAAACGATATATCGATGCTGTCCGACATATCGAGTCGGTCCGCCATATCGAGTCGGTCCGCCATTTTCGCTGTGAATTGCTTACCGCTTACCGCCAATTTTTCCTACGCACAAGCGACGTTACGGTTGTTGCGTGCACCGATATACACTTCGTCGAACATCTGAAACGAACTTTGTTGAACGAGTGAAAAGATCTCGGGGAGTTCCGAGTTCTCCTCGTGCGTAAAGAGAATTTGGCCGATCGAAATCCCAGAAGGAACCTGTCATGCTGTCGTGATCGCATCACTTGATGTCACCATGTCTGGCCGATTTTGCTTGTTATGCGCGAGCGACGAAGGTGTCTTTCTGGACATCTCCACGGACAACCGCGACACATTCGTCGATCAGCTGGAGATATGTTTGTCTGCCAAGGTACTCTCGATATTCTTAGAAATAATTTGGAGGAACGGATGGGTGTTCGCGTTCACGCGGTTTGTCCCAATGAAAGAGGTTTAATGAAATCAGAAAGCATCGAATATGTTTGACAAGAGACGTAAAATAGCTTCCGCAGATGCTGTTCGATCTGGAGTATCTCTAATTCCACTATCTTGTCTAGGTAGGAATAGCACCGGTTTATAGGTTAAAACAAGATGCTCTTTAAACCTTAGTCGGACATAATTCGTCGTATTTTGTACTGTGTTTGACGTTTCGGATGAAAGGGAATTTTGTGGTTTTTTTGGTATATTATATAATATTTACTGTTGAGATATAAATAAATAATCACGCGTGTTATTATGGTTACGTCGAATATGTTGATCTATCATATGCGTCATCTGTCTCCGAAGTGTAGAACTCGAGTGTGAGCAGAATTATTACGTCTTAGATATAAAGAATTTTAATATGGAGGAATACTTTTCTCTTTCTCGTAAGGAATAAACACATGAATTTTTGTGTGATCGTACAATTCCCATCACACTTTTATTATCTCTTTCGACTCGATCAGATGAAGGAGTAATATTTTCTGTAAAAAAAATAACGCGAATTGTATCCATCTTGTATCTCCTTTTACCGACATTTTGTGGTAGGTCTATGCAGACGGTAAATGAAGTATTTAATAAGATCTTATATCATAACACACTCCACTTTTTACATCTTTATTAAAATCTGCTAATTATATTTAAAATATAAATATTTATACATGTACTTAATTATTAGTATTGTGTGTTATTATATTTGTTTACTGTCAAGTTTATGCTTTACTTGTTAATGAAAGTTATCTATGTATCTGTCAATAAAATAATACCATTTTTTTACTATCTAATTAAGATAAAATTATTAAATTAAAAATAATGATTAGAAAATTAAGAAAGAGAGAGAGAGAGAAAGAGTTGAAACGATTCTAATCAGTTCTTTTATCATAGGTAAATGAAAACATCAAATTGTCGAACAAGATATGCTATAAATGTGCGTATGAATTAGGTCAGTGCGCCAAATTTGTGCAAAAGTATAGGAAATCACATGATGCCTCAAAACCGGAAGCTGAAACATCAATGCCATGTTGCTGTTTGTGCTTTGAACATATAGAAAATAACCGCATATTTGATATTACCAAGGACAATCGCGGAATCTTTAATCCTTTACAGAAAATCCGCAAGATCTTTAACGAGGATGTAAGTTTAAATCCTTATTTTTTTATCTTTTGTATGACAAATAATATGTACTATTATTCTATATTAAGATTAAGTTAACTAATTAAGAAATTGACAAATTTATATATTGTTTTTTACGTACAGCTTAAGAAGAATGACAATTCTAAACTGATATGTCTGACATGTCGATATAACTTGGATGTTTTATATGATTTGAGAAGAGTATACCAGGAAGTAATTATCAATCTGAAGGCCTTGGTTAATAACGAAATAGATTATTCAAATTTTCCAAAGGTAATAAAGACTTGTTATGAATAATATACGTATGCTTCTTGATATTATTTTTACTTTGATCAAACATCTTTTTTAAACAAATTTGTATTACAAAATTACATTTTTTAAATTGCAGATATATACAGATGTTGTAAATCGCAAAACAACTGTTACAACATTTCCGGATATTACATTCTATGATCTAATAAATTCCGATAGCGAAAGTAGTGAGAATATGGGACGTAATAAAACGCGTGCTAAAAATCGCACGGAGCGAAGCAATGCACAAACTAAATCACGAAACAATGTGAAATTAAAAGTTCGGAAGTGTGACAAGTGTCATAATATTGTCCCGAATGGTACTGATATGTATAGATTTCATCGTTCGCGTCTAACAGTATGCAGAAATTGTTGGATAACAATGGATCCAAGTAAAGACAAATTAAAACTGCGATCACGAGAGGTAGAACCCAATTTGACCGAAACAAAATTATGTGCAGTCTTTTTGACGGATGTGCTTGACAAAAAAGTGAGAAAGAATCTAAGATAGAAAAAAATCAAGATAATAAATCTGATGACAATTCAGAAGACAGATTATCTGGAAGTTCTTTAAATATCACGCCTAAGAGTGAGGATGCTGTTAACGATAACAGAAAACAAGGAAAGAAACGACAAATCAACGCTGAGAAGAACGAGGATGTCGAGAGCACACGAACGAAAGTAACAAAATTAAGCAAAAAACCTGCAAATGCAACTGAAGCAAAGGCATCGTCTGACATGGAGCAACTGGAGTCTACCACTTATTCGACGCGACAACGACGTAAAAGAGCAGCCGCTATTAGTTCTGACTCTGATACTTCTCCATCGAGTTTAAAAGAAAAATCAAAAAGTCAGACAGAGAGTCTGTCACCTTCCTCGAGTAAGCCAGATAAAAAGAAATTGAAAACTATTGTTGAAGGAATATCTACAAATGTACATTCAGAATCTACCAATGAATCATCCCCGGAAGATACAAATTCGAAAAGAATGACGAGAAAAGCTTTAACTGCGCGTGCAAGCAAGGAAAAGAACGTTCGCAAAAGAACAAGATCATCTTCTATCTCTAGTACCGAAACGGTATCATTGGCGGAAAGGCTTAAAAGTCCGAAATCTGTATCATCGCCGGAAGATAAGAAAAAATGCCACACTTGTGACATGTGCGGTAAGAAATTTGATACCAAGCTGGAAAGCGCAGAACACAGACTAACGCATCTCCTTCAAGCTTCGTTAAAATTGGAAAGATTAACTATTTCAAATATTAAGAAACAAGAATTGAAACTTGATTCGGAAGAAGATAAAATATCCGAAGAAGCGAAAAAAACTGTAATTGAAAAATGTACCGATGATGTAACCGACGAGATTAATATCGAAGATACGGACGAAGAAATGTCAAGTGTAACGAGAAAGGAAGATGCAGAAAAGAAAGAAACAAATAGTGAAAGTTGTAATGTGACTGACAAACTAGACACAGAGAATGAATTGTGTGTAGACGAATCTGCGAAATATCAAAGCGATGAAAAGATGATGGAGGAATCTGAACAGTGTGTAGAATCGTCTGTGTCGAATGGAACAGTAACTTCTGTTGAAATAAAACAGAATACAGGAGAAACAAAAGATACAGAAGAAAAAAATACAAATAACAAAAATAGAAAGGCATCAACGGACAGAGACATTGACACATTGAATAGTAAAGACACGGATATACAGAATGATATTGTAGCGAAGGAAACATCTTCCTCTACATCCAAATGTAGTCATTCATTGTTTAACAATTTTGATGAAAAAGAAAATAAAAATGTATCTGCAAAAGATGGTACAAAAGTATCCACTGAAGAAAAAGGAAAGTCTAATAACGACGAAGATCATCTTCACGAAGAAACGGCGCACGATAACGAAACAACTAAATCATCGGTTTCATCGATTAACAACATGACCAAGGATACGATTCGCAGTAAAAGTTGCAAAAATGATTTAAAAAATAGTTGCGAAGATAATGAAAGTGAAGTAGTAAAGGACATAGAAGGGGAACAGTGCGATTCAGTAAATAAATCTCGGAAGAAAAATATAAATGAATCCAAAGAAAAGAAAAAAAATGTGTTAAACATCGTAGAAGAAACAGAAACATTAAAAGACCAAATAGATTTAGATGATGTAGTCGTAGATGAGAACAAAGTCATAGACGAAAATAAACTTGAAGCCTCAGAAAAATCGCAAGGTCCAGCTAATAAAGAGAACATAGAAATTGAGGTGATTGTAAATGTTGACAAGCCTAATAGTGCAAAAGATATCGTTAAATCGGATTTTTTAAATGGTAAAAGTGTTGAGGAAGATGATAAAGACAAGAGCAATGATGTAATCATTTCTGCAGATAGCAATGAGGTAGTACAATGCACGAACGTCACGGAAGAAATAATTACAGTAGACAATTCAAATGAGAAAAAGAAATTAGAGGAGAATAATCTCGAAGAATTGATGGATATTAATACAACGAATAATAAATGCGATGGTCAGGAAAACTTGAATCATAGTTTGAATGATAGTTCCATGGATGCAGCTAGCATGATATTGAATGAAGTATTTGATCTGGCGGCCGCCGAAGTTCAAAAACGAGAGGACATTGCTATGAAAAGTTTACGCGATACTGAAATAGAAAGCTTGGAGAACATAACGCGCGAAATACACAACAGCGCGGATATGCCATCTTTGGACCCAATTATGGATATAGATGATGATAACGATGTCACATTGAACTAATTATGTTATACTGTTATCGTCATCTATTTACGCATAATAATTGTACATTTTATTATACATGTTTAAATGAATGATTGTGTGTGCAATGCATTACTGTTCCAGATGGAAAGAATTACATTGATTTGAAAGAAAGAAGGGAATCGCTGAATATTTCTATTCTTTCAGATGATCTATGTTACAAACTTTTTCTCTAATATGCCCAAGTTTTCAAAAGATATAATTCTTACTTTTGTTTTATCTTACATTATATAAGATAAATAGATAATGTTTTATAAATATTAGTAATTCAATTGGAGAAACGTTAATAAAATTGAAGATAGGCTTTTATTATCACATGTTAAATATCTTATTATCTCATTATTTAAGATAAATATTAATTTGTTTGGCATTAAAGATTTAATTAAATATATTGTGATGCGTAACATGCATATTGTTCTTTACATAACATCTCTATATAACATATAGAGTGAAACAAGCTACCAGTGTGACAAAATTTCAACATTAAAAGCAAAAATAATTTGTAAAATTAAGAGATAAAAAATCAAAAATATTAAAAACATGGAAAGTTTCTCATTTATTTGTATCATTAGATGATAATGTAAGATAATTATTATTATAAGATATTATATATAGGTACACATTTTACTGATTCTGTAAAAATGCTTGCACATTTTGTTAGAAATTTATGTAATACATTTCATTTATATGCTACATTATTATGTTTTTATTTACACAAGATTTTAATGTAAGGAGGTAATTATAACGATTCTCATTATAACGAAATAGTGATATTATAAATTAAATTTTTCAAAATTTTTATTTACAAAATTGTAAAAACATTTTAATAGAAACAAATGTTATATGTGCATATCTACCCACTCACATAATAACACACTAATTGATAATAATTGTGTATATAATAAATATATGTTTCCTTCAAATTTAGCGGTAAATTAATAATATGATAACTAATCAATATAATGTAATATTTTAAATAATAGTTTTTTAAATAATACTCTATTATAAATTTTAACATGCAGTAACATCATTGTGTTAACATCATAATTAGTTTGCCTTTATTTTTCAATATAAAAGTATTAAATTTTCTATGTTGAGTAATATGTATTGCGCTTATCTCTGTATTGTTTCGTAGTCGAAACTTCATAATACATAATCTTACTGTGAAAACAGTATATGTAAAATTGCTCCAGAAAGTTTTGCGTGCCCGCGCGTATAAAGGAATTATATATATATATAAATTATAATAAAGATTATAATATTGAATTATAATGAAATTATAATAAGAATGAAAACAGTTGCATTATAAAAATGAAAATTTCTACGTAAAATACGTAAAATTTTATTTATATACACATTCTAATTCTTAATTTATTTTATATTGATTATGAATTATTTATGCATAATATATCCTAAGATATAGTACATATTTGTTGCTTTCCATTTACATCAAAGCTCAAATAAATCTCACTTTTGTCTTTCTTTAATATGGATGTTGAAGAAAGACAGAAGTGAGATTTATCTGAACTTTGATGTAAATGGAAAGCAACTATTCCAAAAAATTGTTCTCTAGATAATCTTAAAATGTTCTTTGATTTATTATTTTTTGATAATATATAGGCATTTAACTTCCATTAAATTGCGATGTAAACATATACGCATATAACTATACTAGCATGTAAACCAGAATACGTATTATTTATCTGTATCAAAAGTATCAATCTTCGCATTTAATACTATAACATTAAAAGTAAATTTGTAATTATCGAGTTGTCAATCATTGATATATACATTACATAGCACTCGTAAGAAAAACGTCAATATACTACATAAATTAGATTTTACTCTCTATAGTGTACTTGTGATATCGTTTATTATAACGAAAACTTATTTTAAAAAATTATATATTTTTATTATAAATATGTAATCTTTTTTCACAATTATTAGATATCAAATCGAATCTGTTGTATTTCTCTCGACAAGCACGGTATTTGTAAGATTGGATAATAATGAAGAATCTTCTGAAATATTATCGTTGTACCTCTATTATATGATTTATAATTTAAATCGGATGCGATTAATTTACATTTTAAAATTGCACCGTGAGTTAGTTATAAAATATCATTGCAGTTAAAGATTAAAACTGAGAGACGAATTCTTTTACACAATTTTCTAATTAACGATTAATTTTTTATTTATTGCCTTACTAGTGTGTAGCGTTGTCTCATTGTCAGTCCAAAAAACGCTTCTACGATTTTTCCATTCACATAACGTTGTTATAGCTTTCGGGTCACCTGTTCCGCATTGAAGTATCAGATCGATATATTGATCGAAAATTTTTTGTCCTGTTAAATAAGAACAAAATAATTTTTAAGAACATATATATACAATGAATACAAATTTTCTTCATTCACTTTTTATTTCCCATTTTGAAGAAATATATATTACCTTTTGAAACTCCGGCGATGATTCGCGCTTTATTAGCGTTATCGTGCAAACCGAGTTCATTATACAAATTAAAGGATTTTTCCAAATGAGAAGTCGCAATATCTGGCCTTCTCTAGAATGTACATAAATGTATTTTTAATTTAACTAATTAAAAAAATATTAAATTGGAATTATCAATGATTTTGCTCACGAAAGAGATGTAAAAAGAATTTTTGTCTATTCCTATATTTTCTCTCATTGTCAGAATATAATTCTGTGATTTGTTTTTTTACGAGATAATTAATTCGACAATGTATTCGCACCTTACTTAGAAAATGTTCGCCAGTGCAGCAATGTGCCTCCGCGAGTTTTTTCATCAATTTAAACTCGGTTGCATTTTTCCTGGACAGATGTAAATGCTTTTCCGTGTTTAAGTCATCGTTCAATTCCTGTAAATAAAAATTATTTACAAAATTATCTACATGCGAGAAAGAGAAAGAAAGAGCGCCAAAGTCGGATCACTTGAGAGGTAAAATACGAGTCGAATAAAATTCGAAATTGACATTTATTTTTTTTTATGCGTGTAGTGTTTGATGTTCATTATTTTATCGTATATATTTCTTAAAAGAGAAACTTGAGTTAAACATAACTTATATGCAAGTGCCAGCGCCATATGCGCGTTACAGATTCCTTCAGGATCCGGAAGTCTTCTGGTCATCGCTAAAAACTTGGAGAAATTTTGGAAAGCGCGTTTTACATCGCCAGATCGTAATTGATTTTTACCAAGTTCGTACAGAACATTTGCTATATATTCGTAGTGTCCAGCTATATAAAGACGTCAAAAGTATTTTTTTTATTTTACAGAATAAATGAACGAATTTTGAAAACTTTTTAACATTGAATTTTAATTTTCGAAGGTAGAAATTATTTAAATCGAGAAATTTCTCAGAGTTTCTGAATGTTATTAAATCTTTTTATTTTTAGAATTCTGGTAAAATTCCAAAAAAGGGGATCTGCAACAATATGTTATAAATATCTTCCAATGACATTTCTATGGAAATCATGATCTTGATGTTCCATTTATATATCAACAACTTCATTAATAATTCACTTAGGAGAACTTTATGAGAATTTCTAGAGCTTATTATAAATTTTATTGAGATAAACTGACGTGCATAGACACTTTTCAATTGAAATTAATATATAATATTCGGAAGAACGTGATGAAAAATTTCTGAAGAAAAATATCGACTACAGTATTAATTGCATTTTTAAAAAATAAAAAATAACTTACAATCCGTCGCTCGTGCTAGAGCTTCTGTCAACACTTTTACGATAATATCTGGCTGATTGGGATCAATTTGTTGCGCGTGCATTAGCAGCGCTTTGTACAAAAGCACGTTGCATTCTCGAAAAATAGTTTCCTCCTTTCGACCGATTATTTTCGACGCATTCCAATGTTTTTCTTGAGACACTTCACGAGCGATTTTTAGATGATATAATGATTCCGTCGTATTTTGTACTGTGTAATTACGATGTAATGTAACATATTAATATCTAATTATGTTCATTATTAATTTGCATGTATACATATATAATAATGATACGTAGTAAATATTTCATTAATAAATATTTTTATATGAATAATAATACCATAACATTATAATTATATATATAATATATTATCAATATCAAGGAATAAAAGTATAGAAAGTTTTGGTTCAGGCTCGGAGCATTTCTTTCTTTTGCTAATATATAATTCTGTATCATGTCGGTTACTAACTTTGTTCGAATAAAAATCGACCGTATAGGTAGTGCATCAATGTTACGGTTCCTTGTTCATCCTTTTCGATTAATTTCGCATTCGTTAAAGCGCTACGATAAAGTCGTTCCGCCACCCACCACCATTCCCATGTCATCGCTTGAAAGAATAATGCCATAATCAAAAGTGCCATGATCATTGAAGCCGGATCTCCTACATTTACGAAATATTTGACTTTAATCATAACGTTCCATACCTTATTTCATTTTTACAAAATTATTTAGGTATTTTTTATTATATAGGTTTGATTATAATTTTTTAATAGAATACCTCTCTATTTTACGTGGAGAAATATTATGACGTTACAAATATATTTAAAAAATTGTTCACGCACCAGTGTTTTTGGCTCGTTCGGAAGCGATCAAGCCTTCTTTGAGACATATCATCGCGTCTTTATTATCCTTTAAACGTGGTTTCTTCCACGTCAATGTACCAGGACCAGCCTCTTTTCGCGTTTCTTCATCGAGCTCAAACAATTCCTTCAAATAGCTGATCGACTCCTCGTAACCATTTTCCTCGAGTTCGTGAATAACAGCTTCGTGAAGTGGTAAATAAAATCTATTCGGCGATGTGTCAACGTTAATCAATAAAAAATAATTTTGATAAAATATTTTATATCTTGAAAATAAATAGGAATAAAGCGCAGGAGTATAAATATTGGTGAGAAGTAATAAACCTCTTCACTTCTGAAGGTTTTAATATCGGGAGCATTTCCTTCAATTCGCTTTTAACCTTTTTCATTTTCTCCTGTCGAACTCCAGCAAGAGTTTTAATCGTTTCGCTCGAATCTCGCTCACTTCCTTTGATCTTGAAATCAACTTCTGATAATTTTCCTACCCTGAAATTCTTCCCTCGGATCGCCTTCGTGCGGGCGATCTTTAAATTTAATTTTTGCATGTCTACGGTCTCGCCGTTTCGTTATAATTTTATAACGTAAAATCGGCAAATGTAATGAAGGAAAAGTGGGAAAAATGTCGGATTTCAGAATTCGCAGCGCGTATATCGCATTTTATTGCAAGAGATAAATATCAACTCAAAAGCATTAAATGTCATACAACGAATTAACGACCTCAGTAATATACACTATATGCATGTGCGTCGCAAACATGCATATGCGATCTGCGCGCACAATCTATGCATGCGAGATGCATTCTCTTTTGAAACTCCCTTCGCTCGGATTGAAGTTCTATAAAAAAACAAAACAAAAAAAAAATAAAAATAAAAATCGCAAAGTCCGCTTCTTCTCAATTATACACTACTCTCTACCACCCTGTTACCCTACGCAAGCGGAACTTGAGGACTGCTGTTTAAGCGGTGGCGACCGTCGCCGATTTTCTCGGTTCCAATCTGATTTTGAAGCCCTCGGCTCGCTTGAGGATGATATCGGCCTGGAGTCGGAAGTCGGATTCTTTAATGTCCGACTTGACGCGGAAGTTCCTCATGACCGTGGCCAAGATGATCTTCAGCTTCAGCATAGCGTATTTGCGACCCACGCAAGAACGCGGCCCGGCTGAGAACGGCACAAACGCGTAGTAATGCCGATTGGCGGTCTTTTCGGGCAGGAAGTTGTCGGGATTGAAAACTTCCGGGTTCGGATAGAGGTGCGGCTGTCGATGCATCTTGAAGGTCGTCACCACGACTGTGCATCCGGCTGGGACTGTGTAGTCTCCCGACGCTGAAAATCGTTTCAAAGTATGAACACATTGTCGAACCTTACGATTAATTTTTTAAATGAATTATTTTAGAGTTTGATTTCGAAGCTATTGTGTAATCAACAATTTTTCAAACTGACCAAGTTTCAAATCGGTTTTGATTGTGCGGGCGATGAGTGGCACAGGTGGATACATGCGAAGAGTCTCCATGAGGCATCTTTCCAGATATTTCATTTCCGTCGTGTCCTGGAACGTGACTGGTCTGTCGCTATCGCCGAAGATTTCGTCAAGTTCCTGGATCACTTTTTCTTGAATATCTGGGTGGCAACCCATCACTGACAAAAAGAAGCTGGATGCAGCCGCGGTCGTGTCGTGTCCCTGAGAAAAAGGATGACCCGATTAATGGATTTCCGTCCTCCTGACATCCAGATATCGCACCAATTCTGTGATACTTACTTCAAACATAATAGTGTCGACTTGTTCCTTGACCTCGGTATCCGTGAGAACTGAACCATTCTGACCGGCTTCCATCAGCAGATCGAGGAAAGCTTGTCTCTTCTTCTCGCCGATGTCATTTTCCTCTGTATCAAGATCGTCCTTTAAACCGGCCGACTGTCCGAAAGAAAGTCCTTCCACAGTAGCGTCCTAAAAAATAAATGACGAGTTTCATCGTTCAATGTCGCTTTTGTGCTACAAAATTATCAGGAAATTATTAATTTACCTTAAATTACCTTAATTAAAAGTAAGTAATCAATTACCTTGGTTTTTGCGGTGCCATTTGCGGTGCCATTTGCAGTGCCGTTTTGTGCAGAGACATCGATGATGTTGCGCTTGCCACTTTTGTATTCTTGCTTCTTACGCGCGATGACCTTCTTTGTCAGTCCATGAATAATTTCCAATAAATGAATTTGATCCTTTCCGTATTTCGTGAGATTGAATAGCCAGTCGGGTCTGAGCCAGACTTTCATGTGACGCAAATGCAGAATGTAAGACATTCTAAAAGATAATAAGACGATATTAATTTTTCAGTTTTTGCTTTAATATACCGAAAAACGGCGCCAAGAGGATTCTCTTAATTTAAGATGATTATTCTTGATTTAAGATGATTATTCTTATTTTCAGTAGAGAAAATGCTTAAATTAAGAGGAATTCTTGGCGCCGTTTAATAATAAGAATACAATTTTTTTGGTGATTTGAAAAAATACTCGAGACATGTTGCATAGAAATTTACAATATGTATGATAATGTATGGCATATGTAATTATAAACTTAACATTTTATTCAGGCGATGTACAAGCTTTCATAAACTTAAAATTCTTCTATTAAGAAAAAAGAGAAAACACTCTGAAAAAAAACTATATAATTTAAAATATGCATCTTGCAGTGTGCTGCAATATATTGAATATGTATAAACAATTTTCAATGTCTTTTTTTCGCTTTTTTCGATCGTTAGATTTTTTTTTAGATACTTGCTTCATAACAGCCATAGCGTATTCGAAACCACTTTGATCTTGCGTGGACTTGGAGACTCCCATAGCGGTCTCGAGAAGAATCTCGACGGTGCACTCGGACATGTAGTCGTGGATATCGAATTCATTGTTGCCCTCCTTACGTAATTTTTCCACGACGGCGCGCGAATTGGCATTGAAAAGGTCGATGAAGGTCTTCAGCACGTTCAAGTGGAATGTCGGCGCGATCAGTTTGCGATGAGCACGCCATTTTGGACCTGTAGATAAGAATTTCGATCCATATATTTGCAATAAAAAATGATACAAACGACTCTCGCCGTCTGTCGAAAGTCAAAGGAATTTTACTACGTCGTTCAATAAATATAAATAAAAAGTATAGAAGAGAATGGTAAAAAAAAAATCATTATTATTCCTGTCGTGCGATTAATCGAATTCATTTCTATTTTTTCACAGTCGCGACACGTTCGTCGATTTGACGTAGAACACTTTCTAGCGAACACGCGGAAGTAGGAAGTAGGAAGGCGAAGGAGACAGAGGGAGAGCTAGATAATATATCGCAATATGCGCGCATACGTAAGGAGGGCGACAGGAATCGTGCGGCAATGCATATGTTGCAAGAGATCCCTGGCTAGAGCGAGATGCGCGCATGGAGAACGGAGTTAGATGGAGAAAGCATCGCGCGCAGGTACAAATTTCCTTCCTGTTCTACCTCTTGCGCGAATCACCGCGGACTGATTGCATTTCGCTCACTCTCCCTTTCTCCGCGCTTTTCTCCGCTTCTCGAGAGAGAGAGAGAGAGAGCGAGAGGATCTTTAATGCAGCTGCATCGCGAATACATGTATGCAAACGCATGAAAGCATAGGCGTCGTGTGTTCTTTTCTCGAATAGATCTTTGAAGATTTGTTCAATGTCGCGCTCGTGTAAGAACTCCTCTTCCACTTCTTGGAAATTTCAGTGAAGAAAGAACTCTATAGAGAGTCCTGGAATTTTTACTCCAGTTTTTAATGTGTATATAGTCTTTTAAATTATAATTACACTTTATCAGGTTATATAAATTCTTTCAATTTTATAAAGACCGGTTTTATGGAACAAGTTAACGATCGTGTTTACCTCTGTAATATATTATATCGCAATTTCACTTTTTGCATTATCACGTCACTGTCACGTCGTGTTTGTATTATACTATTACGTTGACGTTTATTATTAAGCGAAGAAAACGAATCTGTCAATATTGGATTTACAATTTGCTAAATTTCGTGTAAATTTTTAAATCTAAAACTATATTATCAAAACAATTATTTCGCGCATTATATTTAAAAGTTTTCAATCGTCGACAAAGTTTATTTTATAAAAAAGAAAGAGCGTGCTCTATCTTTCAACTTCTTCAACAGTAAAATAATAAGAGTCTCGTCGTTCTTTTTATTCTGCCGCTGTCAGTTTAAATTAAATATATTACGCAATAGGTATGTTTGAAAAAGAGCGAGAAATTTATGTCAGGATACTAACTGTTTACTATATATATATTATATATAACGTCATTTCTCTCTCTCTCTCTTATTTCGCCGAATTGTGAAACTCGACTGTCCACATACCGCTGAAAGTAATTACTAAAATGACATGCATTACTAAAATGGCGTGCATTAAGCAATCGTTATGCAACGCGGCGTAGCTGATCCGGGAGAAAAAAAGTGGAGCGTTTGGGGTGGAACGGGTCCACCGGCGCCTTTGGCTGTCAAACGACGACAAAACGGCACCGACGACGAAGCACGCGAGTGCTTAACCGAGGAGAGACGTTAACACGCGTCGGACGTTACGTACGCGTTGTAAGTTACGTATATGTCCGCCAAGATTGAGAGAGTTTCGTCAACGAGAAAAAGGACATCCCGGTACAACCGCGAGAAAGTTGCGATAAAAGTCGACGCGCTAATACGTAGGTCGACGATCGTCGCTGCATCTCGTTCCTTTTGTCTAGTTTTCACCCTGTCGGAGTCTCGCATTTCTCTCCGGAACGGAGCAGATCTCTCCGGAGAACGAATATTGTAGATGATGAAAAACGAATTAACCGGGGTCGAATTAACGAGGATGAACAATTTTAGATTTTTGAAATTCTTATGAAATTTTTCGAATAAACGATATATAACCAAATATAATTCTGAAATGTGACATAAATTAAACGGAGAAATGGTGGAGGACAGATTGCGTTCGAATTAGACTCGTTTACCATTCGCCATATTTTTTTTTCTACATGACCTGATCGAAAGGAAAAGTAACATATGTTATTCGACAACCGTAATTAATTATCGCGTCCTACGATCGCGTTACGAGGCCAATTATTTGATTAAAAATTTGAATACTGTATGTAATGTATTTAATCATCAATAATAAGACCAACCCTTTAGATAGAAAAAGAACCAAGAAATAACAGACATTTGTGTAATCTAATTCGATTAAAATAAAAACATTCCCGACTATAATTCGTAATGCAACAAAGTCTAAAGATTGCTGCATTTCCGCGTTGGAGGTAATAATTGACATATTTTCGATGTAATAAAAACATGTTTTTTCGGCAAGTTATGTAACGCCCTCATAATAAAAGAAAGTATAATAATAACCTTCAGGGAGGAACGGAATGTACTGCCCAGATAGAATTGCCTGATCAGATTTCATCACGTTCTGATATTGATTGAAATGTGTTATAGTCTGCATATAATGAAAAATGTGAGCTCAGATATAAATTTGAGCATATTTATGTACTCATAATGATATTTTGGATTTACTCTACATTAATTGCAGTCGTGCAATGGATAACCATGTGCATACGTTGCATACTCAAAAATAAAAATTATCCACTCGTTATCAGAATTTTCCGCTCAATTATAGAGTATTTTCCGATAATTATAAGAGTAATTTTCTAAATTGTGCGTAGTATCGCTAAGTACGCACCGGTGGAGATAAGGATATTTGGATTTACTCTACATTAATTGCAGTTGTGCAATGGATAACCATGTGCATACGTTGCATACTCAAAAAAATAAAAATTATCCACTCGTTATCAGAATTTTCCGCTCAATTATAGAGTATTTTCCGATAATTATAAGAGTAATTTTCTAAATTGTGCGTAGTATCGCTAAGTACGCACCGGTGGAGATAAGGAGGCCGTTTCCGAGCCAGGGCTCGAAGTATCGATATTCAGCAGATTTGTCGATGTAGACCTGGCTGGACAAGATGATTTCGACGTCGCGAGGGTCCATCAGAAAGACCATCAGCTTCGGGCCGAGCCACAATCTGATCACCTGATCGTATTCGAAGGATTTCCTGTATATCGTACGAAAGACGGCTGCAACAGAAACAGGGTGTGTGATCGGTCGATCGGAACTTATGTAAACACGTGCGTTGCGAGCGCGAAAGTTACTTATTCGTTACAAAGTCGCCCCCTTATCTAATACAGATGATGATAAGCGCCGTAACGGATATGGCATAATCGGTCAAATTATTGGTCTAGTTTCTAGCGAATGTTGAAATTGCTAGGTAGGATGACGTCTCGAAATTAAATAAGAGTCGACCAAGTTTCGCGCCAATCGCGACTACATCTTTGCTGAGAGATAACATATCTCAGTACGAAATTAATATAAAATTAATATATAAATAGGCAATTGCTTGTTCCCACATTTGCATAAAGATTGGCCGTCTCGACTGTCATCACGAGAATTGTTCAAAAATAAAATTATATTCAAAAGAAAATTACAATTACTAAATATTTAAATTGTTACATTAAATCGGATGGCAACGGTAAATAAAAAAGTGACGTTTGTATTCATTTTTCTTGCGCCGCAATTTTTTATTCTTTGGAATGCATTATATTTAAATAAAGATAATAATAAAAGTAAACGAAACATAAATTGACATATGAAATATTTAAGTAAAAACATAAGAGATAATTATTTTTAAAAGCGGATTGCAGTACAAAAGTACGATATATCTGGCAATTAAATTTATACTAAACAAGACTTCGCGTGTGCCATTTAATTTTTACGTATAAATTTTATGTACTATTTTATTTCGATGAAATGTCAAATTGTTAACGATGGTAGCTATTAGACAATACATACACGCGTTTATAATTTCTAATATATAATCACAGACATCTAATGTTAGATTGCTAACTCCCTTATATACCGCACCAAAAATTGATCCCGAAAAATATATTATTGTGATAAATTAGCTTTTACATGACTTAAGTAAGAAAAATAGAGTGATAAAAGAGTGCTGAATATTGTAAATATTTATATGCCATATCAATTCATATATATGTAATATTCAGTTAAAAAATGACGTAAGTTGAATATTGTAAAAAAAAGGGAAAAAAAGCTGAATATTGTAAATATTTATATGCCATATCAATTCATACATATGTAATATTCAGTTAAAAAAATGACGTAAGTTATGAGAATCTAATATTTGCTCCTTATTATAATTTTTATCTTTATCATATCTACGCGACTAATGTTCCTTTCAAAGTATATAATTATATATTATATAAATATTGATAAATAAATAATTATATTTTACACATTTCAGTTTATATTTTTATTTATATTATCTATTATCTTTCGCGTTATTTAAAGCAATAATTTTATTTATGTAAGAATACATTTTCTCCTACTGCAAAAATTATGATCAAAAGATAAATTTTTTTACATATATAAAGATGTATCTATATATTATTAATCTATATTATTTCTGCATATTTTTGTAATAATTTGTAAGCATTTAAAGATATACAATCTCGTTTGTAAAATGCTTCACTTCAACAGATTTCATTATATTATTTCATTATTATTTTATTATAATGTTACTTATTATTTTTATAATTTAAACACGCAAACGCGAGGAACTTAGCGAAGACTATCGATTCGAGATTTGGCTGAAAGTTCGACTTGATGCCGCTCAAGATTGCATGAACTGATTGAATTCAGATATCAATTATATTTGTTACATACATTTGCTGTATTATTAAATATTTTTCTTTGTAAAACTTACAGTCGGCACTTCCTGTGAACATTAGCGCGTTTCCAATTAAGGGTAAGCCATCGGGACCCGGTAGCTTTTCCGCCAATTCAATCATATGACGGTGTGAAATTCTGAAGTAAATGTAATACAGAATCAGGGCAGGAATCAAGAGTGAGAGGAAAACAGTAGTTGCTGAGAATCCAGCGGCTGCAGCTGCGGCAGCCGTCGCAGTTATCATTTCTGGTTCGGCTGTCGACATGATTTCTAAAAGAAATACAGGTTAAAGTGTGTAGTTTCTTGAATTTAATTTGTGAAAAAAATTGTTCAAAGAAGTAAAAATTCAACGAATTCTTTTTTACAATATTGCTAAATATAATTTCTGATATTATCTTTTATACATAATAAACATATACATTTGACACATTGATATATTATTTTATAAAGATTCTTAGGGTAATTTGGAAACAGATTAAATTAATTACTTTCTTTTCTCTAGAGCTTTATAAAATTTGCACAAATTTCTTGGGGAAATTTTTCAAAGGTTTATTACAATCCCTTATATTTCCCGCGACCCTCAGTTTATTAGCTAATCGTGTTAAAATGAACACTGATGAATACAATATATCATTTCACTGTATCATCACAGGCACGAAAAGAAAAACGAGGGAAATCTTATAGATGTTTTCTTAATCCAATTGTCCAAATAAATTACGAAGAAATTCAAGAGCCGGGGAGAGTTTTCTCGATCGAATCACCCACCTATTATATTTTCACCAATGCACGATTGAGTCTTTTCAATGAACTAGCACTGAACTGATCAGCTTGCCTTTCCGCAGTTCTTTATAAGCGCTTTCGCGACCACCTCCACTATCGACGTTGAATATTGCGATGTTAATTAACAGCTCTCTTTCTTTTTTTTACTACCGATGCCAATAAGTCAATTTCTTGCTTTCCTTGTATTTTTATTTAATCAACAGCGGGACAGTTACCTAATGCTCTTTGTGCCTACATACATAATATATTCTTATCTAATATTCTTTACTCAATTAACAATTTGTTACTTCAAGTTTAAACTTCAAGGTATAAGTTTAAACTTTGATCATGAACTTACGTAAAACAAAAATAAAAACAAGAAAATTTAATTCACTTGGCCACAAAAATGATCTCATTTACGTTATTGTTCCGCATTAATTTTAAATGTGAAATTCTGCATTTAATTTAATAGTATTTTAAAAACAAAATATACATATATGTATAAAATATTAGTAGGTTAATAGATACAACGATACGATATAATAAATAAACAAATGTATTTATGCAACCGCAAAATCTATAGTGGCATTTATTGAATCGTATGTTTATTTGCAATTGCGTGCTATATAACACGTACGTATATTATTGTAAAGTACATTCTGTATCTGTCTTATAATTGCTCGTAAAAAAGTTTTTTCTTCGTAATTTCATAGAAAAAAATGACATGTTTTTCATTAAAAATAGAGTTAATATCGACCAAGGAAAAATTTCTTTTGACGAATTATTAAAGAAAGAGCTCTTTGATAAGATATCAGTAAGCACGAGGATATGGATAAATGCATATAGAGGTATATTTCTAGTTTATTTCCGAAAAATACATTTCTGAAGTACAATACATAGAAGATTGAATTTGGAATTAAATATGCTTTAATTTTGTTAAACAAATTTCAAAATTTTCAAAAATCACGGAGGGAGAGAAAGGACATTTTGAAAAATATGACATTTTCAAAAAATCTAATTGCATTGCTATAAAGTACATTAGAAATTATAAACTTTTAATTGAAACATTTTTTCATATCTTTTACCGTTTCGATGGTATCAGAAATATAAAAATTGATTTTTTTCAACGGGATGTTTCACCCTATGAATGGCAAAATAGGCATAAAAATACATATAAAAAATATGTGTCTCTTAGTTTGACCTAGATTACAACATATATAGCTTATAAAAAGAAAGGAAGGACACTTAATTCCTCTTTCTTCCATGTCATATTAATCTGATTTTTCTTTATATAAATAAGTATAAATGAGAGAAAGAGAGAGAGATAGAGATAAAAAAGAACATTAAATTTTTTTTGTAAGTGGCGTTTGGTTGAATAATTTTTTAAGAAAAAAAATGGAGATGCAATTCTAGAGGAGACTTTTTCAACTCTACCATTGACGGTTTTAACTTTATGTTTTGCTAAAATTGTGCGCACTTTTTGTTACTTATAATTATATATAATTACGAAATGACTACTTATATTTTAATTATTGTATAAGTTTTCTCATATTCTTCCTACCATTAAGATAAGGCTTGTACATAAATATTAATAAAGATGTTCGATTTAAAGTAGGTTAAAATGTTCGACTTTTATGAAGACTAGCTTAAATAAAAATTTATTTTTTTCAACTTTCATCAAGCTTTTATGCTTTCATCAAGCATGATTTTTAATAGCTTTTTTATATACAGATGCTTAACATCGAACTTGTGTTTTTTTCTTTAAACAGAATGAATTAAAACAAAATATGTGAATGTATTTCTGTGAGAAAAATTATACATCTATTATTAAAAATGAAACGTATAAACTTCAATGTGTGTGTGTGTAAAATTACAGCAATTATGAAGAATATTAATTAATTATACATTCACAAAAAATTTAGAAGCATTGATCTCATAGTTAGATTGTTACAATATAACTATATAATTATATTGCTATATAACTGATATCATATTTAATCATCGTAACACCGAAAATGCAAATTGAAAGAAGAAAAATTGACAATTTGGTAATAAAAAATTAATAATTTTATTTTTGAACAACTGTCAAAAATCGATATAGTCAATCAATATCGCGGAAAAGCGACAATTACATGTATTTTTAGAAGCGAAAAAGAATTATGCCTTAAAAATTGCAATTGTTTTGATTAACATCAGATTATAATTTTAATCCTTCTTTCATTTTTACTAATTGCTTATAGCTGAACTTTGTAGTTCATAATATTAATTTTTATTCAAAATGTTGTTTAAAACTTTATAATGTTTGATGTGTATGTTGAATATTTAATAATTTTATTAATAATAGTGGTAATGACTCTGCAATATGCATCATGCAAAACAGATGAATTAATGAGAATCAACGTCTTGGATTGGAACGCAAAGTTATTATATTACCTTTGTTTCTTCAATTTTGGCAATTTGTATTGTATTAAAGAATATATAATGTAATAATAATAATAATGATAATAATGGGGTTTTTGCCTAATGTTGTTTGGTTTATTTTTTTAATTAAGTGCAAAACAAAATTATCGTATCTATTTTAATTTGCAAACTTATTTATTATTAAGGCAAATGAAAATTTGTGATTACAAATAGCACTTTATGCTTAAATCAATCAAATAGCGTTCAAGAATAAAAATATACTTGAATCAAGGATTCCTTTTTTTCTGTGATGAGTTGATTTATTATTGGAAAATTTATATTATAAATACCGCAATATTTATTTATTTCTCAAAATAAAAATTTGCCATGACATATTAGTTACGTTTGATTCCACTGCTCTGTCACATAATCGCTAATACGCAATTAACTTTGCGAAGACATGAAAATATGCACGTCATCAAAAAACAAATAAATATATGTGCTCTTGTAGACTAAAATTTCGGACAAACACATATATTTACAACTTGAATTCTTTCGTGGCAGAGACGAGAATTCATAGTATGGCTCACACAATCGACGGATATCCAGGTCGCTCGCTCGTTGACCTACACAAATGCAATACCTTGCATCGATTATTTTATCAGTTGTATTGCGTGTACATAATGCAAAAGTGACAAACGAAATTTTTACAAGCATCATAAACTAAGTGCAAGGTGCATACGACTTTTCTTATAAGATATAATCGCAGATACGTTGTCGTGAGGGAAAATTTTTTATTTTGCTCATTCACTATTCAAGACTCCATAAAATTAAAATTTTTTCAATATCATGTATAGTAATGTGCAGTCGTGGATACAGAGGTTGCGATACTTTAATGAATTTAATGTTTACATTTATTATCAATTTTTCACGGCATTTAAATATATATTATATACTGCGTAAGTATACGCAAATTTTTATAATCATTTATCGCGCATCCTGAATTTGTGATTGCACATTTATTATTATTATTATTATTATTATTACTATTATTTATAAACTTATATTAAAAAAAGCGTCGCAACCTCTATATAACTGCGTACACACACATATATATATATATATATATATATATATATATATAGATTAATTTTAAAATATTCGGTCATTTAACCTTATGCCAGAGTATATTTTACTAATCAAGAAATTTTAAATACTTTAATATGTATGTAATCTAAAAGTGTTTTCTTGTATTCGATTTCTCATATATATATGAAACACTTTTAGATTACATACATATTAATGTATTTAAAATTTCTTGATTAGTAAAATATTCTCTGGCATAAGGTTAAATGACCAAATATTTTAAAATTAACCCGCATTATGTACGCTTTGTCTTTTATACGCGCTTTTTTTATAAAAAACTGTGAATAAGCAACACAAGAGGAAGACATCATTCTATGTAAGCATTTAGTTAATTTACAATACCATATGTGAATACTATACTTTTTATTAATGTTTACTGTAGTTTACATACTTTAAATTGTATTTTATATATATATCGGAAAGGTATTAAATACAAAAGCGATCGCACTATTAATAAAATATCAAACAAACTATTTCAATATGTTTTCAATTGTATAGAGGAAAATTGATTAAAATAAAAAAATCGTAATGCAAAAATATCGCCATTATACATAGTTATATATAGTTATATATAGTTTTACAGTTGCGATATAATATTAAGTATCTATAACTATAAATAGTACTAAGTATAAAATAAGTTAAATATAAAATAATGAGTTTGCATATTCAAGGTAATGTAATTATGTGCGCACGTGTATGCATTTCGATTGCTGTATTAAATTTGATCGTATAATTGTTTTTTTTATTTTTATTGTTCAATAATTTTGTTAATTTTGTTTTTTTACGTCATTATATGTGTAGATACCGTATACATATATGTAGCAGGAGTCATTAAAAATTAAAATGAGATTTTAATTATTAATGCGTATTCTCTCGCATATACATGATTGCTTAAAAAAATTTAAGACACTTTAAAAACTATTTATGGACAATTTTAGAGTGAAGATATGCAAAATAAACAATAGTGGAGTATTTGTGTAAAGATAAAAAAACAAATAATCTGATGCACGTTGGCAGAGCCGGATCTAAGGTGTGACGAATGAGGTACCTTGGGCGAGACATAAAAAAAATTTTTTTTTTTTTTTAAATGCGAAAATTTAATTCAAGTAGCAAGCATATGTTATTTTAGCGTGTGTGTGTGTGTGTGTGTGTGTATGCATACATGTGTAAAAAAAGGGATGCCAATTACTAATATTGCTTCGGGTGTCAAGATATCTAGATCCGATTCTGCATGTTGGAGTGTGTTGTGCTATAAAAAATCAATCGATATTAAATTCATTCATTTCTTCGGATAAATAAAAATGATTCACATCACTATTTTAATTCTTAACATTTATTTTTGACATTAAAGTGTCAAAATATATATGATTTCTGCTTAATTATTAAACAATTATATATTTGGCTAGTTTGCAAATTATATAATAGTGACATAAGTTTGATGTGTTAAATGTTTTTCTTTTTGAAGATAACAAAATAAAATAATATCAAATTAAATTATTCATTGCTACTAAGAGTGAATTTTATGAAAAATTAAACGAGCCAATTAACTGGTTTGAATTTTGAAATATAAACTGCACACAAAGTGCACGCGGGCAACTCGTTCTTTCATAAAACTGAATAAATAAAGACATTCTTGTGGCTTTTCTTTCGAAAACAAATAATAAATCAAACATCACATTCTTTTTCCATCGCACATTTTCTATCTTATATTTTTTACAAAGCAAAAAGCTACTCGTGATTATCACATCTACACAGAGCTCGAGGCGAAAGATGAGTCACCGCAAACTTCATAAAATTATTTCTTACAATTATTCATAGCAATAACTCTTACATTCAAATTGTTACAATACATGATCTCCACGATGGCAGTTATTTGTAGTACATAATATAAGTATATAAAACACGAGGAAATCGTTGCGAGAAAAGACAATAATACAATTATATTTAATTTTATTTTTTATGAAAGTAGATTTGAAAAAAAATTATTGTAAATTATAGATCAAATACGTACGTGTCGCGCGTCTACACAGTATGTTCAATAAATAAGGGGACTTTTAAGATATAGAATAAAACACGTATCGTACTATGTTTGAAAGTTATTTTTTATTCGAAATAGTCTCCATTTAACTCAATACAACGTTTAGAACGATCAACCAATTTATGCATAGACTCTTTCATGTCATCTAAAGGAATGTTCTTTAACACCTGTGTCACGGCTGCTTGAATGGCTGGAATATCATCGTAAAACGCTCCTTTCATGGCCGTTTTCAGTTTAGGGAACAGAAAATAGTCGCATGGTGATAGATCGTTTTTAGCTGTTGAAATGATGTCTTTACAATGCTCTACACGAGCGATTTTTTGGTCTTTATTTAATTGATGTGGAACAAAGCGTGCACAGACCTTTCTTTTACCCAAATCGTCAGTTAAAATTGTCCAAATAGTACCAGTAGATGAATTTAATTCTTCAGCCAACATTCTAACAGTGAAATTTCCGTCAACAGCAATGATTTCGCGGACTTTTTCCACCAATTCAGCACGATTACTTCCTTCTGGACGACCAGGTCTTTCATCATCATTCAAATCTTCACGACCATTTTTAAATCGTTTAAACCACTTATGAACTTTTGAACGAGCTAAACAATCATCACCATACACTTTTTGCATCAATTCGTACGTCTCACTAAATGTTTTTCAAAACAAAATTTAATATTTGCTCTTTGTTCCATTGTATTTTTACGACACAAGCACAAAACATACTGTCATTAAAAAGCGCGTAACTTTTTAACCTGTCAACCGATTTACATGAAGTTGGCTGCGTTTGAAAGGTGAGACCTGTACCTTTCTAATGTTATCAACGTTCAATAGATGGCGTTACGTGTTCCATGATTTAAATAAAAAGTCCCCTTATTTATTGAACATACTGTGTAGTTCCAGTCTAGTAAAAGTAAAAAGTCAAATTTCCCGCTTCCCGTGAATATTGTCAGAGAAAATTGCCGCGAGATGGCGCGTACTTTCATTTGCGAGTTGGTCTTCTTTGGTTGCGTACTAGCGCAACTAGATCAGAAAAATCGAAACAAACTGTACGTGTAACCCGGTGCGCGTGTTACAACGTATTACAACGTGTTACGACGATCTCCTGCGTTAATTTTCATCGCGCTTGTGAAGTGATTGATTAGTGAGCACGAGAGAATGCGCCACGTCTCGCTTATTTTCTGACAGACAGTTTTCCAGGTTATCGAAGGTAAGCCTAGTTTTATCTTACAATTAGTTTTGTGATAACCCCTCTCTTTCTCTCTTTTTAAGTAATTACATCCGGCGAATGTCGTTTCGCGGTTTCATCGGAATGACCTTCGAGCCGATCTCGATATAGCGTCAATAACGACGTCATTGGTTCATCTATCGTCTCATTATAATCAGGCCATGTGATGTTACTATTCCATGGCCGCAAATTGTTTATCTCGCGCTCGCTTGTCGCTATGGTGACGCGGCGTAATGTCAAATCGCGCGAACACGTGATGCGATAATTGTGCGGCGTGTCAGATGCAAATGCTGTAATTGCCGTTTCTATTTGTGTATTTTGCTATTTTTAATTCTCGTTTCAGAGTAAAATTCTTCGATTAACGCTTACTGTAGTTTCATTAATTTTACAGTACAATATTTCGTCATTTTTAAATACTCGTCATTTTTTCTTACAAAACAACTTTTAACTGTAAGAGAATACATTCTAATTCGAATTTATGTACGTATTAATATATAACTACATACATACATACGTACATGTAAATATATGTATATTTGATTTTTATTAGAGTTATATTTAATTAAAATAAAAAAAGAAGAGGAAGAAAATAATTTGTCATCGAATGCAATCTTTGGAATTTAACTCGAAGGAAAAGACTTTCTCAATACGTGACAAACAAAAATCAAATACATACACGTATTGAACACGTTCTTTCTTCCGAGATTTAAATTCCAAAGATTCCATTCGATGACGAATTATTTTCTCCTCCTTTTTTAATTTTAATTATACTCATTAGACTATAGTTATAAACTATTTTATTTTGATTTCTAAATTGTTTTATACAAAAAAATAAAGTAAATAATATTTCTAATTGAAAATGATTTTAAAAAAGTCGTGTGTTTGATAAAATCATTCGAAAAGTCTCGGTGATCTATTAAAATTAATTGTATAAAGACAAAAAAAGTGTGTATGTAAATTTTATTTTTTATTCAACTATTCATCGCTTAGATGCTGATATTCGCTCGCTCGAAAGTTAATATGCAGATATCTTCGAAACGAAGGAAGAAATTTTGCACGTAATGAAAAAACATGTAATATAGATCCAAGAAATTTACGTTCCGTAGACTGGCTACGTTTAGCAGAAAAAGCAGCTTTACAACTGTTGTAAAATTCGTGAATCGATGTACTTTTGATCTTAGCTGAATCTAGGAGCATGCACTGATTAAATTCACGAATTTTACAAGTTGTAAAGCAGTTTTATCTGCTGAACACAGCCAATGCCTTTAAAATAAAAGAAATTTCAAGCAGCTTTACAACTGTTGTATAAAATTAGTGAACCTGATAGCTCTTGATCTTATTGTTAGCAGAATTTAAGAGCATGCACCGATTAAATTTACGAATTTTACAACAGTTGTAAAGCAGTTTTATCTGCTGAACACAGTCAATGTCTTTAAAATCAAAGAAATTTCAAACAGCTTTACAACTGTTGTATAAAATTAGTGAACCTGATAGCTCTTGATCTTATTGTTAGCAGAATTGAGAGCATGCACCGATTAAATTTACGAATTTTCCAACAGTTGTAAAGCAGCTTTATCTGCTGAACGCAGGCAATGTCTTTAAAATCAAAGAAATTTCAAACATTATTATATATATTATATTGTATATATTAACACAAAAAGCAGCTTTACAACTGTTGTAAAATTAGTGAATCTGATGGCTCTGGATCTTGTTAGCAGAATCTAAAAGCATGCACCGATTAAGTTCACGAATTTTCCAACAGTTGTAAAGCAGCTTTATTTGCTGAACGCAGGCAATGTCTTAAAAAAATCAAAGAAATTTCAAACATTATTGCGCGTAGTTTTGGCGCTGGAGGCGCGCTTGATCTCGGTTCCTCTACTCGTCGCCGACTTTCTCAGCTGCTGCTTCTTTTTCTTTTGCTTCTTTTTCGTGACCTTCGTGATCTTACCCGAGTCCGAGGAAACGTCGTCCGACGTCGTGCTCTCGCAGAAGGTGTCACGGCGACACGTGCGCGCCGGTTTCGGTGTCTTCGCGGTAGTCGAGGCCACCGCGCCTCGGAATTTCCGGCGCGGTTCGAGTTTCCGGTGGGGTGGCCTCTGGGGTGACACGGTCGACGTCGCTAGCAGCTTCAACGAATCCGCCTCGATCGTCAGGAAAGAGGATGAGATTTTCGCGCTCCTCGCGTCCTTGATCCTAGAATTCAGGTTCACCGCTCGTTGCCAGTCGAGCTTCGAGTTCTTCTTATTCCTCGACGTCTTCCGCCCCAAGTCCGATCGCGTAGATACCTTCACCTGGGACGTGGTTTGATCAGCGATCCCCTGCTGCCGCTTTCGCCGCGACTTCTTCCGCGTCTTCCTCACGTCGTCCTTGTCTTCGTCGTAAATGAGCAACTGCACTTTTTTCGACTGCGATCTAAAAAAATAATGAAACATCGTATAGGTGATTCGATAGTAGATTTTTCGACACGCTTATTCCACGGACATAGTGTGAATAACTTGAGAATGAACTCACTTTAGCGTGACCTCTCCGTCCGTGGGATAGTGCATCAGAGCGTATCTGGAGACACCCCAACTTAATGGCGTCTTAACGTATTCATCTACGAGACGTCCGGTATCGCTGCCCTCCGCGGTAGACGGTATTCCCGTCCAAATCTGCTGCCTGAATGATGTCAGCTTGATTCTCGCTTCTCGATTCGGTGATATAGGCGATGGAGTCTTAAGCGTCCTGAAAATTTTAATTCATTACATTATTTTGTGAATATTTTTAGAACACAAATTGTGCTGCTTCATTACTATTTTATTAGATTTGATGACCGAGTTATTAATATATTATTTTTATTAATAATGAACATTATAAATAGTATAAGGTGGTATAATGAAAAAGATATAATATTATTATAACTTTCTCAATTTTTATTTTTATTAATAATTTTTAAACATCTTTGGGATGGAAGGGAAACAAAGAAGAAATTAAGAAATTAAAAAAAAATTACTTTACCGAAGACATCGCGGCCTTCGTTGACGAGTTCTCCGATGATCTTTACGCGGCAATAATTCCCCAAAAGATACACTGCGAGGTCTAACGATTTCCGGTAGGATCAGCGTTTTCTCCTGTTGTCTTTCATCTCTTTCGACCGTCTCTCTCTCGGAAAGTTCGACAATTTCTTCACGATTCTCTCGTGTGTTTCTCCATGTAACTGGCAAGATCAGAATATGCATAAACATATATCCGGAGAGAATTTTCTCTTAGAATTTACTCCGAAAATCATGGTAATCGTATATGAAGAATTTTATAAGAATTTCTCTGATTAATATTTACCACAATAAAAAAATATTAATATGTACATACATAGTAAAATTATCGAATATATTTTATATATTATTGTGGTAGATATTAATATTTTTATTGTGGTAAATATTAATCAGAGAAACTCTTCATGATTTTCAGGGTAAATTCTAAGAGAAAATTCTCTGTATGCACATATCATTGTAGAAATAATACAATTATAATTGATGTCGAGATATTAAATTGATAAATGTGTACCGTCGTATTCTCTTCCCTCGCTTCTGACAAAATTTTCATCAGCCGAATCGGTCAGATCGCATAAATCGCTGCCTGGATCCGTGGTCGGCAAATCCATCACTGCGCGCTGCGTCTAAAGCATCGCAAATATTATTTATTATTTCTAAGAATGAGAATTCATCTTTTCATAAAATTCATTTTATAATTTCTGTACATAGAAGAATTAGCGAATTCGATTGGATGCACTAATGCGCATTGGGTGCATATAAAGGTTTGTCACACACAAGTAATTAAAAAAGGAAAATAATTAATAGTAAGAGCTACTATTATTGTTGTTCAATATGAATAATAATAATAATAGCTCTTACTATTAATTCTTTTACTTTTTTAATTACTTATGTCATTGTAAAATTGTGTGCGATAACCTTCATATGCATGCACTCAGTGCACACTAGTGCATTCAACCGAACTCGCTATTAAAGAGAGATGTATACCAGGTTTCTTCTGCGATCCAGATATATTTTCCCTGCGACATCTCTTCTCGCTCTCCTTTTGTAAAGACCGATACTTCTCGGTGGAACAAAAGTCGGCGACGGTGGAGGCGCGCAAAGATACCGACGACGATTATTCGCCAGGAACTCTTCACTGGACCACGCAGCATCCGTGTACTCGATTCTCTCCTCTTCTGATGAGAAGCTTTCCTGCGAGATGTCTCCTTCATCACTAGTCACAAATTCGTCAGATATTAATTTCCGTAAAAATTTTCCAAAAAACGAGAGATATAGAATCGATATTAATGACGGATTATTTTTATAAAACAGTTATACCTTGAATAATCGGTCAAATCGATGTTGGTAGGCTCCTCGGCGCTGGACCCTTCCTTGGTCAATCTGGCTATGATTTTATTCCGAAGTTTTTCCTGTCGAATCGAGCGTTTATTCAGGATTCGTTGCACGGTCCAATCTTTAGACATAATTTTGTAAATTAGATTTCTCGGATGACTCTTTCAAGTGTCTCCAGATTCACAGAGGAATGTGAAGACGCTCTATATATTTGCTACAATAATTTGATATTACTTACGTATAGTATAAATTCCGAGAAAGCACGTGAATCATTTTTATTGAGTAAATTCGTTGTAAAGAGGAAAGTTTGATCGATTTAAATTTTATTGTTACGGTATGACGCCTATATTTCTTGGAAGTTAGCATTTGAAGTCGTACGAATGACGACATTTCCGTTTAATATCCTATTTTAACGTATAACATAATTTCTAAGTAAAGCTGGTCGATATTAATTAAATAGACGACGTTACCTTCATCGGATCCTGATCGGAAAAATCGAGTAGGGTCTCGCAGAAAGCCTTGCCGATCTGTTCGTAGTCTTGAATAGAGAAATGAGTTCCACATCTGGAGCCAATCTTGGAGCCACCCATAGATGCTTCCAAGGTGTAACTATTCTGAACTCCCATCGACCATACAACTACTCTTCCCGTACCTTCCTTTCCTTTCTCAACGTGGAATTTGCAATTTTCGAAAGAAAACTGTGATAGAAAAAATATAATTTAGATGACTGATGAAATAATCAGAGCCAATTAAAGGAGATTATCGTATAAAAAAATTTTCGAATATTGTTTCCTGTCGTAAAATGCTTTATAATTTTTCCAACTCATCAATTGTAATTTAAATTAAATTTAAATCCAAGTATCTGTCATTTAATTAAAAAAATTTTTGAAATACACGGAGAGAATTTTCTCTTAAAATTTACCCTGAAAATCATGGTAATCATGAGACAATATGGTATTGGAAGAATTTTATAAGAGTTTCTTTGATTAATATTTACCACAAAAAATATTAATATGTACATAGTAATTAATCGAACATATTTTATATCTTATTGTGATAGATATTAATCAGAGAGAAACTCTTATAAAATTCTTTCAATACTATATTGTCCTACGATTACCATGATTTTTAGAGTAAATTCTAAGAGAAAATTATGTCTATGTGTGATATTATTGTACTAGATCTTACCTTGTCTGCTGCATTTTTGTGGAGCATCAACGGAAACACTTGTTCCGACAATCTTCCGTTACATCCGGCTCTTTTGCTCTCGCAACCGTAAGCGAATATATTGTGCTTTCTCGAGTGAGCGTGAAGGTCACAGTATATCGCCACCCCGCATTCCTCGAGGAGTCTCCGTATCATCAGCTTCGTGTGCCAAACAGACGGGTAGCTCTCTCGCATCACGGTTCTGTATTGCCGGTTCAAGTCTTTGCCAGATAGCGAGCACCGATTGTTGCCCACTATTACGCCATCCGGATTCAACATCGGTACTAACTTGAAGACGAATCTCTCCCTGAGTTCCTAGAACAATCGCGCGATATTTGTGCCAGTTGTTGAGTTTCTTCAGGCATTCTTCTCAGCGCTCGCAGCTAATTATCGGTGCAACTTTTACCTCGAATATTTATCTATATATAGGGTGTATCTAAATCCTTCCCCGAGGAGTTATACTTTTGTAAAAATTAAATTTTTATTTTTTGAAAAAGTATTAATAAAGATCCTTTTTATTAGGAAAATATCCATCAAGTTTCAGATTTCTAATTTGAATCTGAAATTTGAGAAGAAAAGAAATAAAAACTTAATTCCACTCTGCATAATTGTAAACGCGTCTTACTCTAGCCCGGTTCGTGTCGCCCGTGAGGAAATCGATGATGCCCTTCATCGTCCAACTCGAGGGTGTTTCCCCAGGGTGCACCCGGGCCGTGATGACGACACCTCTCTTCCTACGCACCTCCTCGTCCTGCGTCGGTGCGGTGATCGTCAAGTAATACACGCCGTTTCCGGCCAGGCTGCGGCACAGCAAGCGCAGCTTGGTGAACCTCGTTTTCGCTGGGTCGGCCACGAGTTTACCGAGATACTCCTGCGACATGTTTACGCGCGTAATTAGAGGTGGAGATTTAATCTACGCAATAAGGTGTACAATCGGTTGCTGGGAATCGTTTAGGATGATAATTGCGAGACGGAGAAACAGGATGCGGATAAATTCCGTGAATAATTTCGCATTTTTAAGAAGCGACGTCGTGGGAAACACATTCCGCGCGATAATTACTGAGAGAATTCTGATTTATCCTCACCACATTTGTGCATTCTTGCGCGCTGTACGAAGAAGATGGAAATCGATCGGAATAATAAGCCCGTGTCGTAATGAGAATGTCGCTTATGATTTATGAACAGTTATTTATAGGGTAGTAAATATGCAATTCTGGTACCTGGAGATCGGTGTACGTGTACGGATAGCAATGTGCCAAGTAAACGATGTCACGATCGTGAGGGAAGGAGATATTGAACGTTAATGTGTGTTTCTCCCTCTCCTCGTCGCTCCTGCAATTATTTGTGCATATTATTTTCCGTTCTAATCCATCGTAATTTTCTAGCACTCACGATGAATCGTTGTTTCGGTAATACGTGATGTTGTCGCCGCACCTTCTCCATCCTACGGATCGAGTGCGAGCGTCTTCCGTAGAGTAGAGAAGAGGCTTGAGACCTTCGTTGTAGAGGCTCTCCTCTTTGCACATATTCACGATCGAGAATCTGTAACATTTATTATATTTTCCAGAGGCCAACTTTGTTGATTATACATAAACTATAATTAATAATAATTCATGTAATATTACAAATTATATAATATTATATAGTGTATCGTTTATATTTCGGCAATTTTGACTTAAAAAAATATTAAAAAGAAATACAAATCTCGATTATATATATTTTTGAATCTGAACCTGAATTCTTCAATTGTACCTGTACGTAATTCTGCTTCTCGTGTTGGATACTTTGAAATAGTACCATTGCGTATGTCTCTGAGTGTAGAGATCTCTTCTTAGGTAGAGCTGATAATACGTGTCAGTGATTTTCACTACCTTGCCGAGATTTCCAGATTCGAATCGCGACTCGAATCGCAGATCCGTGTTATCCTCTTTCGGACGAGACGTCTCGGCGACGAAAAAAATATCATTCTCGTTAGTGTTGTCCTTGGTATCCGTAGTACACGTGGTCGATTCCTCGGTGGAGAACGGTAATACCGTGCTTCCGCCCACGCAAGATCGGCTAAACTATATAGAAATAATGAACCCTTCGTCTTCAGACTCTTATTTTAGTCCTCATTTTATTTCTTATTTTAATATTCTCGCGAATCGATAAAAAAGTACAGATTCGTACTTCTTGAAACTTGTGTCTATTGTACATATATATGGATTATTTATTGACTATTTATGTATTGATCGATCGAGTCCGAATTAGTTGACATACACATGACTCTTAATGACTTACGTAATTAGTAACATTAGTCGGACAGTAACGAAATATCACCGTTCCAAGCTCGTCGCTGATCGGTTTCGGTCTTGGCTCCTTTCCCGTTGGAACATAAAAAGCTTCCGGGGTAGCAGAATTGTGTTCTATGTGGCGAATTCGTTCTGGGATTACCTGAAGAATTATTTTGCCCCGATAAATTAATATACATAATTATATTATACAAATTAGCTTACAGCATCGGCTGTTTTTGTTCCGATTCATTCTCAATAAATCTGCTTGTTTTAGCTGAATTGGCTGCACTAGTTCAGAGTTTATCTCTTAGATCTGTTCTTTTCTGCTGAGTTTATCCTTTTCCCAATGTGGAGTGAAGGAGATAAACTTTGGATTAGTGCAACTAGTTCAGCTGAAAAGAAGAGACCTCTTTTATTCAGACATTGGAAGAAAAAAGGTAAACCCTGAATTAATGCAGCTAGTTCAGCTAGAACGAACAGACCTGATGTCTTGCAAATCGCGCGCGCGAGTGCAAGTGCATCGATTCTCACCTGACACTCGGTCGGCCACCTGGCCGCTTCCTGAATGCTTCCGTCGACGATGCAGCGCGCATCGAGAACCGCTCGGAGAGTTTCCTTCGACGAGTATCGATGCCTAGACAAACTCAAAGGTATCGCGAACAGCGCCGATTCCGCATCCCGTCTCAGAGTCGAGCTATCGTAACGTTCCAGCTGAGATACTTGCAACTCTTGTGGCGCCAGATCAGAAAGCATGCCACCTGCATCGTAAAAAAATTATTTTGTTGTGTATCGCGAAAATAAAATTATATTATTATTTTTATTTATTTCTTAATTTTTTTATTTGTATTATTTTGATAAAATTATTTTTCCTTTTTTATGACTTTGTTTAATTTATTAATAGAGAGATGTTGCAAATAAACAGAGGTAATTACAGTATATTTTACGACTAATGAGATTGTGAATTTTGAGAATTGAGATTATTCTCGAAAAAAAATCGAAAATTTTATTTGCAAAACTTACTTATCTTAACGATGCGCAAATGAAGTAATTACCTTAATAAGAGGAAGGTGTATTGAAATGAATTGAAATAAAAGACTGATTTACAAATTAAAATTTGCAAATTGAATTATTCGCACGAAGTACATATAGGGATTGTAATGATAAGCGTTACATCTGATTGTTGGAGCGTATTAAACGTGCATGTATGAGATCGATTGTTCGTGATTGGGTACAATGTCCGCAGGTTCGCGACCTCTCCCCGACATCTTCATTACCTTATAAATGTATTAATTTTTCACCTGACATTAAATAATGCAACGGAATATATAGAAATTAATTTGTTAGACGTAAACAATAATGCTAATAATCTTATTAGTACACAAAGAGAATTTTCTCGTAAAATTTATCCTGAAAATCATGATAATGGTAGGACAATATGGCATTGGAAGAATTTTATTAGAAGAGTTTCTCTGTGTGATTAATATTTTCACCAAAATAAAAAATATTAAGATCTACCGCAATAAGATATAAAATATGTTCGATTAATTTTACTATATGTAGATATTTTTTTATTGTGGTAAACATTAATCAGAAAAACTCTTATAAAATTCTTTCAATACCTTATTGTCTCACAATAATTTTCAGTGCAAATTTTAAGAGAAAATTCTATTCGTGTAATTTTCAAGCGGTGTACTAATATCGCTCTTGTTTCTTCTCGTTAAATTAAAAGAAGACCTCACCAGGGATGGGTTGGATCGGAAATAGCATGGCCTGAAGATCTCTCACTCTGCTGCTCGATGCCGCCTTCATCATCATCATCTTTCGTTATCTCTCGTCGTTCTCGTCCTCGTCTTGCTCGTCACGATTGTCGACGTCCACTGGGAGTATCGGCGACGTTCTTCCACCTTTAGCATTTTCGTGCCAATCCGTGTAATCTTCCCTCGTCGGTACTTCCTCTCCGAGGAGATACTTGACAATCGGATTCTTCATCTTTATTAAATCACGCTTACGTTCTCATGACTCGTATCTCAAAACTCTTCACTTCTTGTTGCGACTAATTATCGATGTCCTCTTTCACGATTATACAATTAATTATGATAACTTTCGATTTATTACTTGTTTTACCAAGGCAAGTAAATTTGAAAATTAAATTTAAATTAAATTAATTTGAATTAAATTAATTTATTATTATTATTTATTTAAATTATTACTATTATTTTTTTAATTTAAATTAAATTAATTTTTTATGAAATTTACTAGAATTTTATTTGACTTGAAACTTCTGCTGCTATATAAATCACCAACACTGTGTTCAAAATAATAATAAATAACGCAGATAATTGTAAGACGAAAGTGTCAAATTGAGGAAATTTATGTCGAGGCAGGTGAGCGACGAGAGGATACAAGTTGTTAGAAACTATTCTGGAATTTGTGGTAGCTTAGACCTGGCGAACGCTAGAGAGAAACCTGGCCCGCGTTGCTGAAGAGATTGAGCTTGTTCCCTCGTAGATGATTGCCTGACAACCGTCGCGAATCGTGGGCGGAGCCACAACTTCAACGATTGTTCGTTAACTGCTCTCATTCCAGAAAGCCGCCGACGCGGCTCATCGACATAATATCTTCCTCGGGTTCGGGTAATTCGACGTTCCCTATCGACGTTTCCAAAGTATAGGAGAGCTTAAAATCGTCGCAACCGAGAAATACCGTCGCGGAGAATTCGAAACGTGTCTAAAGATAATAAATTACTACTGGGAATTAATTAAGAATGATTTGATACGAAGAGAAGGCTGTCGAGAATATCGTTGATCTGAGGTTTTTCATTTGTGTCTAATTCATAAATAAATTTAATTTATGACGACGAATTTGAATGTTTATGTTAATTTTACTACTCGTCGATGTGTCATTTATTTTAGTATCTAACTTGTTGCGCAAGATAGACGTATTTTATATAAAATACTATGAAGGCATTTTTATCAAATATTAGTAATAAGAAAATTATATATATAAATTTCTCTTATTACTGTATACTTGAAAAAATGTATTACTTTATTATTAATTCAGAATAATTTATCATTGAGCAAAGTGTGACTTGTTATTTGAACTAGAAAACTTTCAGATACTTTCATTTTTATCAATTTATATTCTGTTTTCGCTTATTTTATATATTATCGAAAGTGTTAGCTTTTTAATATTTATTACATATTCTATGTGAATATTATCAACTTATACGGAGAGAATTTCTTCTTAGAATTTACCTTGAAAATCATTGTAATTGTGGGACAATGTGGTATTGGAATTTTACAAGAATTTTTCTGATTTCCCACAATAAAAATATTAATTATGTACAAAGTAAAATTAATCGAACATATTTTATATCTTATTGTTAGAATTAATATTTTTTATTGTGATAAATATTTTAATCGGAGAAACTCTTATACAATTTTTCCAATACCATATTGTCCCACAATTGCCATGATTTTCAGGGCAAATAAAGGAAAATTCTCTCTGTGTAATAGAATAATTGGTAGCGAATTTGGTGAAAAGAAAAACCGTGGTAGACTGTAGGGTTATTATATACAAGAGGGATTAGAGAAGGTGGTCTACCTGGCCGTACCGGGTTTTCCGTCCAGATTATTGATCAATCAACATGCGCCGGACTAAGGAGAACAAAACGTTTCGGTTTATCATCTGGATGGAGCGATCGATAGAATTCAATTGATAGGATTAGTTGGCAAGTTGCCGCCAGAACTTCTATCAAGCGTACACGCAATCGCCGACTTTTAACAGTTCGGTTTAGTCACAATAATATTACCGTTCAATTGCATATCAAACGATATTGGTATTAATGCAATTTTCAAATCCAACTCGCGGACTATTGTATTTCAATTTTGTATATTTATTTGATTAAAATATTTTATCTCATATATCGGCGATATTAATATCTGTATTACGGAGTCTTGGAATAGTTTAAATATTTATTGAAATTTATATTAATCTTTTGAATTATTTTTTAATATTAATATGATCCTCTCTTAATTCAATTTTTTGTTGTTATCGCTCTAAGAATAATTTTGCGTACTATACAGAATTATCTGTATTGTTCTTCACAATATTATATAGAAAAGTTTTTCGACGTAAACGAAATGTCTTGAACATTTGTTTATTTATTTCAGATTAGAAGAGTATTTCGGAAATCACATAAGAAATAGCATTGAAAACAAATTCACCATGGGACGTACAGTGACTGTCGCTGTTTGCACGTTAAATCAGTGGGCGATGGACTTTGACGGAAATAGTAGGAGGATCCTGCAGAGTATACAAGAGGCAAAAGATGCTGGCGCCACTTATAGAAGCGGTCCAGAGCTCGAAATTTGGTAATTACATTTGAGAAAATTAATTTTGCCGCTTGTCAAAATCTTCAAGGAAATGCTGCTGCCTTCGAGCTTCCATTTTTAAACAGCATATTTTTATAGCATTATATCTTTCTGCTTACATACTACATTTTGTTATATTTATTTTATATTTATATAATTATATTTTTATGCGTTATTTGATATTAATAATTATATTTTAAAATATTTTTATTTAACAGCGGTTACAGCTGCGAAGATCACTTTTACGAATCCGACACGTTGCTTCATAGCTGGGAGGTTTTAGCAAACCTTCTAAAGTCCAGTATTTGCGAGGATATATTGATAGACGTAGGCATGCCGGTGATGCACAAGAATGTGACGTATAATTGCAGAGTGGCTTTCTTCAATAAGCGAATTTTACTGATTAGACCGAAAATGCAACTCTGCGAGGACGGCAATTATAGAGAAAGCAGATGGTTTTCTCCTTGGAGGAAGGTAATGGAATATTGTGTACTTTCTTGAACAATCGATCAAAGTGGCGATCATGCACGCGATAATTTCGTTATGTCTTTTTAGGAACGTACGGTCGAGGATTATTGGCTGCCGCGAATGATATCGCGGATCACTGATCAAGTAAAGGTACCATTCGGGGATGCAGTTATCGCGACCAGGGACACGTGCATCGGCTTCGAAATATGCGAGGAACTTTGGCATCCAGCCAGCAATCACATTCCGATGTCACTGGACGGCGTGGAAATTATTGTGAATGGTAAAAGCGCGTTTGATACTGTGTGTGATGTTATTTGGAGGCGATTTTTCTTCTGTGAAAATGTCGAGGCACTAATAAGTTTGCTTTAATAGAATTGTAATTTAAAGCTTAGTTATAAAGATATATGATAGTAAAAATTAGGAATCTGCAAAAAATGATGACCTCCTTCAACATTTTCGCTGAGGAAAAATCGTTTCCAAATAATGTCAGGAATCTAACTGTATATCAGTGATTTGCTGGGTACGGGAGACCCATATATAGACTCGTTATCTTTTTAATTTCTTTCATTGTGCTTATCTCTTTACACTTTGCGCAACATCTTCACAAAGATCCCTAACAGATGATTTTTATTCAATTCTTTTCATTGCTTCTATAGAATACAATTAAAAGAATTAAATCTAATTTTGACTTGTTTTTTTTAATCGAAAGGAAGCGGTTCGTACTTCGAACTGCGTAAAGCCTACGTCACCGTAGACCTCGTTAAATCGGCTACTTCCAAGGCTGGCGGCTGCTACATGTTCAGTAATTTACGTGGATGTGATGGCGGCAGAATATATTTCAATGGCGGTTCCAGCATCACCTTCAATGGCAATATATTGAATCGCGGAAGACAATTTGCTCTTGAAGACGTCGAAGTGACCGTCGCTACATTCGATCTTGAGGATATAAGGTTTTGAACTCGACCAACTATTTCAGATAGCGATGCCTAGTATTCGATTACTCGGTAGAATACCGGATATTTCTACATTCATTTTGAAATAATTAGGAAAAATTGTAAAAAACTTCGGATACCGAGTTGCTATTTGGAAAAATATGTAGCGCACTATCGTAATATTTCATCTTCTGGCAGGACATATCGAAACAACATCAGATCGCGATCACATACGGCAGCCGCATCGCAAAGTTATCCGCGCGTGGCAGTCGACTTTGAGCTCACGTCGCAGAATCTTATATCGAATCCACCGGATCGACCGATTGATGGAATCCAAGATGTGTATGGTGATGATGACTCACAGTCGAGTATCAAGTATCATTCTCCGGAAGAGGAGATTGCGATGGCACCCGCTTGCTGGCTATGGGATTATCTCAGGTGCGAACTGAATTTTATGCAATCTTTTAATATCTTCTTTTTCCATATGAGATGCTTCTAAAAATATTTATTTGTTGATACGTGTATATATATATATACACGTATCAACACGTTTCTATTATACTGAAGATGGTCCAAAGAAAGAACCGAAACGTTTATACTGAATAAACTTGTTTATAGTATAAGTTATTGTGTTATTTTTGCGCTTCTTCTATCGCGATATATAGTATATATTGTACTATGTGTTTTAGACGATCTTGTCAAGGGGGATTTTTCTTACCATTGAGCGGGGGAGTCGATTCATCATCCTCGGCATGCATCGTATATTCGATGTGCGAAATGATTGTCGAGTCGATCGATAAAGGAGGTAAGATATGCGTTGCCTCCCTTTGACCTATGAACATTTTAAATAATTATTTTTGCATTTAGATACGCAGGTTTTAGCGGATATTAGAAAAATTGTAGGCGATTGCGAATATGTACCAATTGATCCGAAACAATTGTGCAACACTCTCCTGGTTACGTGTTACATGGGAACGGAAAATTCATCGGCAGATACCAAGGCCAGAGCGGCCGAGTTGGCCAGTCAGATAGGATCCTATCATCACAGTATAGTCATAGATACCGCGATATCCGCGATTTTAGGAATTTTCCAACAGGTTACCAAAATGACGCCGAAATTCAAAGTGCAGGGTGGATCGCCTAGAGAGAACTTGGCCTTACAAAATGTGCAGGTAATCCTTCTCGAATCTTTGACGGGCACTAATATCTCGATTGTTAAATTATCCACTTCTATATCTCTAGTATTTTGCTTTCAGGCCCGATTACGAATGGTGATCGCTTACTTATTCGCTCAATTAATGTTGTGGGTCAGAGGCCGTCCGGGTGGTCTCTTGGTATTAGGAAGCGGTAACGTGGACGAGGCCTTACGCGGTTATCTCACCAAGTACGATTGCAGTAGCGCTGATATTAATCCTATCGGTGGCATCGCGAAAGACGATCTCAAAAAATTCCTCCATTACTTTAGGTACGCATGTATGCAAAATAATTAGTGACATTAGTTATGACAGTCATATTAATTAATGAGTTTAAAAAGTTAAGATGGTAAAAGTCGAACATTATTTTTGAATTTCAGAGAGAAATACGGAATATCTGCTTTAGACGGTATTGTGAAGGCACCACCCACGGCGGAATTGGAACCGCTGCAAGCAGGACAACTCGCACAATTGGACGAAGTAGACATGGGTATGACGTACAAGGAACTGTCAATCTTTGGACGACTGAGAAAACAGTATTGTTCCGGGCCTTTTACAATGTTTTGCAGACTTGTACACATATGGAAGCGTTGTTCTCCGAAAGAAGTGAGTGCATGCGCGCTTCGATAACAAGTTATCTTGGAATCAAACTTTTAATAAATTTCTATTTCAGATTGCCGATAAAGTGAAACACTTTTATAGATGTTACGCTATAAATCGTCACAAGATGACAATATTAACTCCATCCTGCCACGCGGAGACATACAGTCCCGATGATAATCGGTTTGATCATCGTCCCTTCCTCTATAATCACTCGTGGAAGTGGCAGTTTGCGGCGATTGACGAACAGGTGAGAATAATGCAGGAAAAAGTCGATCTTGTCTCGAGTTCTAAAGTATTGGAATGTGAGAGGAAACTCCATACCAGCGAAGTAACATCGCGATTAGGTTGTGAGAATGCAAGTTATGGAAAAAGGTCTCATGTGCAACGTAAAGCCTGGCGTGTCGCGTGCAAGATGATTCGTAAAAGCTGAATTTTCTTATCGATAAGACTTCGTCGAGATTCGTATCAACGGCGAGATCGAGCTAGAAAAATAATTAGTACGTTGGAAAGTTTTCGTTCATTTTTTTCGATGTAAGGGTTAGCAAGCGAATAATTGAATGATAGTAGTATAGAAAAGTAGGTATAGTATAGTAAAAATAAAACGATAGCATAATGCGATGTCTTGCTAACCCCTGGAAATTTCATAACTTTTATGACAATTTCATACTTCATGGATTAAACTATTTTCAGGTCAAACAATTCAGCGAAGAGAAACCGTCCAGATCACGTAAAGCTGCTCCGGAAGTGCTTCCCAGATTAAAATTTTTTGGCGCCGAAATCAGTGAGTAAATAAAACAAAGTGCCCGCATTAACGAAGCACGTCGAGCACAGCGGTCGACAAAATCGTCTTAATCGTTAAAATGCGGTGAAAACCTACTGGAAAACCTACCTCCAGAGCTGCACACAAGATTAACATAATCTGCCTCGAAATGTCAACTAGTGCACACCTATATTCCTCCACCTTGGTTTCTATCGAGGAGTCATCACTGGCATCATTCTCTGTTGCAGATGAGATGCATCCAGGAGTAGTAGTTTAACCGTAGCAGTAGCACTCTTTTATCATTTTGATATTGCAGCATTGCAATAAATGGATAATCCGTATTTCAAGCAGCATGATGGATTGTAATCATTGAACGAGATTAATATTTAAGAAATTTTTATGAACAACGAAATACTGATAAAAATTATTTTGTGAAAGTCTATTTTATCTGACAAAATAAAAATATTAAATAAAAAATATGATGCGTAAATTCTAATTCTGATGTACTTTCTAGAATTATCCGACATCTTTGAAAATCTTGACTAACAAAATTTGACGATTGGTACGATATAGCAGATGTGTCAGATACATATTGTACAGGAATATTTATAAAATGTTTAATTAAAATTAAACTTAATTGAAAATAGAGAATTGTTTGCCTCAACTAAAATTTAAAAACATAAAATGTAAGGAAATATGATATTAAAGTCATACCCGGATATTTTATGGTTGCAATTGCATGCCATCAGCTTGATTCTAAAATATTCTGATATTATATAAAAGCAATGTAAAGCACGCAGTTATTGAACGTATCATGAAAGGCGCAATATCAAATAGTTTTATTTATCGGGTATATATAATATTAATTTTTATTATCTCTCTTCTCTCACAAACATATAAGAGCGCGTAACCACATTTTAACTACGATTTATAAAGATCGCTATTGAGCAGCTGGCTGCTCAATAAATGGAATGATCGCTTAATATCGGATAATCAGTAGACTTGAATTCGATTCTGGCTCATGCTCTACTTTGTAGGTTGAAAATTATATTTGAAATTTATAATAATCCAACTATTGTAAAAAATAATCCTAGAACGAAGGACCATAAATTCCTATTGTAATGACAAGCGTAAAGAAAACATGGTACTGCATCCTAGGAATGAAGGTGAATACAACAAAGAATGCTGATCTGACTTGATCTAAGTAGACATCAATGTCCGGATAATGCAGTCGCGCTCTAACGCAAAATTTACAATCTCGTGCGACACATATACAGCATAAACATTCATGTGTTTATTTTATTAGCTGCACTTTCTATGCACTTTCCCTTTGTTCGTTACAAAGTTGTGATAAATCTATTTTGTCTAAGCGCCAAAAGTGGAGCTAAAAGCTGTATTATACATCATACGCGAATTTACACGTATACGCTCATACGAACAATGATATAGCCACACATACGCCCATATAAACAATGATATCCACGCATGCAATCATACGCTCGATTCGCAATTTTACGTTAAAAATATGCCTGACAGGGTGAAATTTGCCCAATCTAACGAGACAAAAATATACCATTCGGTTGTACGTGTGTGTGTGTAAATTATTTTGCACTTATATTTTAAGATAATTTCATTCAAGTAGTATAAACTATTCTGTTGCTCGAATCAATTTCAAACTTGAATATAAATGCATGTTTAAAAAAATATAAATAAAAATATACTTATGAGAATGGAGAAACTTTAGAAGAAAAATATTTCTTCTAAAGAACTCAAATGTATATAGTGTGATTATATAATTAATTGTAGTAAAAAATATATATTTTTATCTTTTAAGATTGGATAAATTTTTCACGCTATGCTATAGCAATTCCTTAACCAGTATCGCTCATTTTTTCTGAAAGAAGTCGCTTCTGCAACCGGACGATTCGATAAATATAGGACTCTATATACTGTATGTGTGTAGAGAATTATCTATAATATTATTAATAAAGTCAATAATTAAAATTATTATTTAGAGCTTTAGTAATAATAATATAATGATAATAATAATATAATATAATAATAATAATATAATAATGACAAATTATAAAGTACTAGGGATGAAAAGAATCGAACGCTCCGAAATGTCATATATATAGCATTTTTTGCAATGTCCGAAGTAACGATAGTAAATTATGATGACAGTGATCAAATTTCAAATCGATGCTGAAGAAATAGCATGCAACTTATTTTGTGGCTGAATACTGAACGTAAATTAAATAATCATGAAAACATATGTATATATATAGCGTTATCGTTTAAAAATATTATGTTAATAATAATAATAATAATAAAATAATGATAATAAGACGACATAATACACGCGCAACTTAATAAACTTGATCAATAATGCGCGACAAGTACCGTTATCCTTGAGTATTTTCTCCAAGGGTGTAAGTGCAAGAAGATATTTTCACAATGCAGTCCTCGCGCGTTTACTATACAAATATTGTATACATTATTGTTTGTAAGCAAAAAACAATCGCGGATTTAATCGGTGCCCGCCTGTGTGCGTGCGTAGTGTTTCTGCCGCCATACAACTATTTACAATAAAATATGCAGAGATGAGCATCTCTCGGCGAAGCGTTTATTAGCACCTACGCCGAAGTAATCGAGCTTAAAAAAAGAATACGATTATATATGTAAGAATTAAATAGCATAGTCTCTCTCTAGTCGTATGTTATTTACAATAACAAAGATTATTAAAATGCTCTCGGCATGTTGTATTCAACCATCGGACGGACGCGTTTTGCGATATTTTAACGGCGACATTTTAGAAATGATAAATCTAAAATTGATAAGACACCTATCTAATTATCAAATGATAAAATGTTATTAAATGATAAAAAAATAAAATAAAACGACTCAAGTGACACAATGATTGCTCGATTTGTAGTGTGAAAATTGCAATGGACAAGTTAGCGTTTGCGCACTCCGATAAGAACGCTTTCAGGAAACACTAATTGAACATTTAAATCAACACACTTCAACACATAAATGTAATACATTAAAACAATAATAATAATGATTTTAGGATAAAAAATCGGAACCGATCGCATAAGTTCTACTCGATATAACATCGTATGTTACAGCGTGAGGTTCTTTCATTTTTCAATTCTTATTCCTATATGTGAGATTAGGTGACGTTTGGTATCCATTATATGGAGCATTGAAGAATGACAATTACACTTCGCGCTCGCCCGAGAGGGTTTAGGAGACTGTGTTTCAAGGTCGTGCTTCAAGGAGTCTTTTTTAACCCTTTGACAAGCGCATTTCAAGTCTTTTACATGCCACGAGGAGGAACAAACAAGTACTGCATATAATTATACATTTATGTATATATATATGTATATGATATAATAAATATATATAAAACAAAATGTATAATCTATATAATACAGATAAATATATTTTCTCGATGTTATTAGTTCGATGTAATGTTAATGAATGTAATGCAGAGATGTGACGCCGTTATGTGTAAAATGTTGCGTAAACAGAAAAATTATGTGCCGTAACACAACTATTGCGTTTCAAAGGGTTAATTTTCCAATCTCGCAATTAGCTCGTCGACCAACACAGTATTGAGAACGCTTTATAGATTTAAAGCTCGCAAATTTATACTTTCACCGCAAAGAGCGAATCTACGACTCGTGTATTTACGATGGAAAGAATCGAGCTGAAATATATTACCGGTTATGCCCGATCCAAGTCCTACCACCTTAAAATTGCACGAAATCCCGTTTTATGTGTTTTTCGTGTGTATACATGTGTGTGTATGTGTGTGTGTGTTTAAGTGTGAAATCAGTGTGTATGGGTGCCTCTCCTGTCCCATCCCCAAGCCCAAAGAACCATGGTGCAAGAGCGGAAAAGCTAAGTCGGGTGCGTAAAGGAGCGAGTGAATTGTTCTGTTACTCTTATCATATCACAGATTACCCAAAGTGCGCGTCGGTTGGGGACTTTATTATATGTTATACATACACATACGTACATATATATAAATATATATATATGTGTGTGTACGGATATTTATACTATCAGTGTTTAGAAATATAATCCCTGTAAGGATAACTAAATTAAAATTTTTAATTAAAACTTTTAATTAAAAAAGCAGCGATATTGTATTTCCATTATATAGTGACTGATTTAATTTATCTTCTTTCAGTTGAAAGACGTCTCGACTCAATAATAAAATCATCGATTATATTAAGGACAAAATAAAAATATTAATTTTAATTACAGTCAATTTCCTCTTTTCAAGTGTTTCAAATAATATAGTAGTTTTCTTCTAAACTAGTATTCTATTCTTACTATTCGTATTTGTTATCGTTAGATTTCGGATTATATGCAAATTGCATATTTGTTATTTTTGCGTATTCTACAAGAACATGAATGTGAATAAATTATAATTTTTTCAATTAATAAACATTAATTAGTTGAAACTATTATAATTTTTTCACATTATCACACATGTCGTCGACATGTTGTCGTAAAATGTGCAAAAAGTAACAAATATGTAATTTGCATATAATCCGAAGTCTAGTTATTGTGTTAGAGAAAACGAAAAAAAACGAAACACCATTTCATGTGCCATTCAAGTTAAGAGCATGAATCGAGAAAATATTTGAACTATCTCATGTCCCATGAAAATAAAAGAAATTGACTCTCTCTCTGATTATTCTTCTAAACATCGACAGTTGAAATTCTCGATTTTTTCAATAATGGTAAAGTGCAAGGTCAGTCCATCGACTGAGAGTCTTGTTCTGCTTTGCAACGCGTTTAAGCAACTTGAAAATTCTCTCGTATATCCCCAATGCTCCGATCAAAAATAATGGAAAATTCGTGACGTAAATCGCGATCGGAAAACTACATTCCTTCCTAATAATCGCGACGTCAAGAATTCCATTTTTCGCGCGCATGTTCACCCATCGAGTCGAAAAGTAACGTAACTCGCCGTAAATCTCTGAGAAAAAAAAATCATCCGTATCGCGCTCTTCTCCCTGTCCTCGGCTCATGCGCCGAGGATGATCCGCATTCCTGAAACGTTCTATCCGAGTCTTTGGGTCTGCTCGGTGTCGCGCCTCCGGCCCACTATTAATATTCCATCTAAAATCTACATATGCAATTGCATTTAACGGTGTGTAATTGTATGTATGTATTTTGCATGCGCACGTGCGCATCCTCGACGCGTGTAAATGAGTATACGTATGTTCTATGCATTTTCTTTGTAATTCAGTATCAGTCGTTATATTCTAAGATTTTATTAAATTAAATGTTAATTAACCGTATAGTTAATCTGAATTAACTAAACAGTTAAAAATACTACAAACTATAAAAAGAAGATATTCTAAAAAATAATTAAAACATTCAGAACATTGTCCGAAAATGTTGGGTAGAAGCGAGATTTATAATTACAAGTCCGTTTTAAAAATTCTCTGCTCGACGCATAGAAAATAATCGCACTATATATATATATATATATTATATATATATATAGATATTATAATTTAAAAACGATGTGTATCATTCATGTGAATCACTTTAATAAATAAAAAAAATGATCTTTTTGCTCAATACGGCGAACGCTATGCGTACTATTCCTTCTCAAATATGAATTTTCCGTGTCTGTTTCATTGGTACCATCTTCTTTAGAGAACTGTCCGAGAAAGAAAGAATAACGTATGAACTTAATCATACAAGTTCCAAGAGAAGTAAAAGAAAAGCTATAATATAACAATTGTTCGATCACACGAAATGTACCATGTAGACAGTATTTCGCGATCGCTTGTTATTACCGCGGCTCTCTTACTCTTTTGTGTGTTATTTTTTCTTCTCGTCCTCTTCTCGCCTTCCTCCTCTACCCATGAATTTGAAGCGGCGGAATCTAATCGATCACACGGATCCTACGCGATGCGATCCTGTCGCCTTCGGACTTGGATGTTGTGTGTTCCAGTGTCACCGCTATGGGAGCCACCTGCAGGTACTTTTTTCGCGCGACGTCACTCGCCCGGGTCGCCAGGTTCAAGGTGATGGATTTAAAAGCTGGTCGTGGTCTGTTGGCGTGTCGCCTCGGTGCTCTTCGAGACCGTCTCTCGTCGCTCCGCGAGGCCGCAGCTGTCCGTATTCCGCGAGTCCCGTTGCAACAGGCCACCCTGAAGAGTTACATCAACAAGAACAATTTCGTGTTCTTGTATATTGCGCTATTTTGTTTTGTTCGTTTGAGTATCGAAGCCTCCCTATATCAGACCGTTGATTTAATCTCAACGTGCAATCTTCTACTTAAAACAAGTTTCAAGAAACTAATATCGTCTCTACGCGTCTGTGCCCACCTGGAGCAACATATTGGCGAAGTTACTATTGGTGAACTTGAAGTGCCGCTTGTCGTAGAACTTTAGTAGCGCCGGACTATAAGGATGCTGCTCCTTCAGATGCAGATAGTGTACTTCTGGCTCATGCGTGGTATGTCCGCATTCCTCGCAAACGTACATCTATTAAACAAAATGCAAATAATTCATATTTAACTTTGCGTTTCAAAGCATATTAAAATGGAGAAAGAGTTTCATAGACTAAGTTAATTTAATAAAAAGAATCGTACGTAATAAAAAATAATACGAACATTACAAGGCATATTGATTTGAAGTCTTAAAGAAGAGAAAAATCTCAAGAAGAATTAAATATGATAAAAAGAAGAGCTTTCTCAATGAAAAATTTACCTTAGCACGTCGCTCTTTGTAGGCATATTGATGCTGAACGCCATGGACCTTCTGGCCGTGACTTTCCAGGGAGCACCTTTGCGTGAAACTCTTTTCGCAAAGGAAACATTTGTAAGGTCGTACTCCCGTATGCGTTCTCGTATGCCTCTTGAGGTCGAAAGTGTCGTTAAAGCCCTTTCCACAGAATGTGCAAAGATAACGCTTTACGTCGCTGTGACACTTCATGTGACGATTAAGAAGCCGCTGGAGACTAAAGTTTTTGCTACACACACGGCAAGTGAAGCGATTGGGATCGTCATCCTATCGGGCAAAAAATCGAAAAATATTGTAACGGCTTCTTATAATAGCGCAGCAGTATATACGATTCAATACATTACGTCACAACCATGTTTTTAATAACGACGATTGCATACATTTTACATGCGAAATACGGTTCATAAAATATACCTGTGTTACCTTGGCAGGCGGAGTTCGATTCGCTCTCTCTTCATCTCGAGTAGTTGGAGCCTGCCTTTGACCCTCGACGGCTAAAGGATTCTTTATGCCATGACCACCGTTAACAAATTCTAGCTGACAGTCATTCGGTAAACCCAGCTGTAAATTCAAGACACGTTAATTTGAAATAATTCCTCGAAACGACTGAAAGACTGATGACATCGGATGAAGCACTCAAATTGATTGACATTGCATAATATATGAGTAAGAGTGGCAATTAAACGAGCTTATTCCTTTTCACATCATGGTACATACCAAGTTGTACGTTGCATTGGAACGATGATGACAGAATCGATTTTACGAATCGCGAGCAAGCCTGAAGGAGGATCGAATTAATTCGATCCCGCTTTCGGAAACAATAATTTAACGCCAAGATATATGCTTTTGCCTGGATCAATTTAAGTCGCTTACCCTTTGTTGAAGTACACCGACCCGTTGCGAAAGAGGAGGTTCTCCAACTGGTCCAGCGGTTTGCCCTGCGACCGTGGTTGGTGATACGACCGGACTATGCGCGTGTTCCGCTAATGCGCACGACGGTGAAGTGCCCGACGAGGTCCCATCCAAAGAACAGCTAGCAGTGCCAGGACTGGGCAGACTTCCACCCACGCTGCTACTAGAGTCCAACTCTAAACCTTTGAAATTCAAAAATTGAACTTTAAGTTCAAAAGTTCAATTTTTATGTTAGTTAGCATAACATTAGTCCTACATTGACGAATATTTCTAAAAATTTAGTAAACATTTTTCTGCACAACTTTTTTTTTACTTTTTTTTAACCCAAGGGGAAGACATCTCTGAAATCAATGTATTCTCCAATGCTTCTTAGCGGTTAAGCAAAATTACGACGACTCACCACTATTGGCAAAATTCAATCCGGGGCTTAGAAGACCTTGATGTTGCTGTTGCTGGTGCGGCGACGCGGCAGTTTGCTTCTGCTGTTGCAATTGAACTTGAATTTGCAGCTGCTGATCTTGTTGGTGCTGCTGATTTTGATTGACGTGCAACGCGAGTTCCTGGCGTTCCTTCGACAATGGCTGATAATTCGATTCTCCAGTCGCATAATTTAAGCTCGAGAGCTTGGAAGCATTAAAGTGTTGAGGAGTCGTATAGTGTCTGAGAAAGGCGATCGGTTATATTATTTTACAATATACTATTAGAACTCGTGAGATATTCGTTATAGCATTTGATTTTTAAATCGTTGCAAGAACAAAAACAAACATATCTGCAGTTGAAATGCAAGCGAGAGTTAATTCTCACGATAATTGAGACGCTCACCTGGTGTCAAAACCTCTGGTCAAGGCCATGCTATGCTCGGGGAAAGGATCGACGCTGGGCTCGACGGGAGTGGTCATTTGACCGGCATCTTGACCGATTCCGCTGCTGCCAGTCGAGGCGGGCGAGTGCAACGATTCTTCTAAAAGATCGCTGCCTCCGTCCTCGGTCTGCAACCTGGGCAACAAAAGGTCGGCGGCATCGCTGAGGCTCTCCAGTAATGCCGTGTGATCGGAGGGCGAGTTGAAAGTCAGGGTACCGGTAGTGAATTGCAACGGGTCCACCACGGCGCCCGTCACCATGTCCACCATCATGCCCGCGTCGGTGACATCATAGGAAGCATACTGGCTAGACAATAGATCAGGTTGAATCTTGTAAGCTCCCAACTCCTCATCTTCTTCTTTGAACGTCAAGCCGTAGGACGCGCATACATTTGCGCAGACATTTTGAAGGAGAGAATATTGTTTGCCTTCCTGCGCGTTGTACTGTGCGTGCTGAGAATTGTCCTGTTGGCCGGTATCACATTCGATCCCAACTGCCGTTAATGGTGTTAGATATGCATTTCCTGAAATAATAACACGACTGAGTCAGCAAAACTGTTATTTAATTGTGGCAGAGATTGTTTTACAAAATCTTATTTTATCTTATTTTAAAAAATCAGTTGTATGAAATTATATATTTTATCTTAATTTTACCGAAATAAAAACTTCTTTCCATAATGTGATATTGGTCGAAATAGTCTTTGATCAGGTTTCCAAGGATGTTATAATAATTTGATTTTTAAAATAAACGATATACAATATACTTGTAAATATAAAAATAAATATTAATAAAATAGAATAGAAACTAAATAAAAAGGTTAAAAGAAAAAAATAAAATGTACAAGATAAGTCGAAATGCAATACGTCTATAATCTAATGGAGGTCTCTCACTCCGAGAAAACTTTATTAGTACAGGATAAGCCATAAGAAAATAAAAATATATCGCACACTATACGTTCAAAATACAAATGAGACGATCGACTACAATATCACAGTATAAATAAGATTTAAAGATGGAAAAAATGTAAACTCAACACTGTATTGAAACATTAAAGTTGGTTAATTATACTAAAAGATAGACAAAAAATAAATATTGTCGATAAAAGACCGATGACTGAATACAAATAATCAAAACATAAATAAAGCACGACACGAATTTTGCGACAATTGTATATGTATATCAAACCCGTATATACAAGGTGTCCCGTATTATATGTAAATATATAATCTGCATGTATAATCTCTACATATATTATATAAAATGGCTTGTCCAGAACAGGGTCATCGTACCAGGACTACCTAATGAGAGATTCCTCAAAAATTATTTCCAAATCTCAGGAATCTCCCACGAATAGATGCGGCAATCCTAGGATACCATATACATATATAATAGAGAGAGAAAGAGAGGAAATAGAGCACCTTGGGCGCTGTTGTACTGATTGGCAAAGTTGGCGAGATTATTGCCACCCTTGAGGGACTCGTAGAACGGCGGCAGGGATCCCGTCGGCGGCGAGCTCGGCCCGTAATTACCGCGACCTCCGTTACCCCCAGGAGGCATGCCACCCGCTCCTGCGCCGCCACCCACGGCACCGCCACCCCCGCCGCCACCTCCGCCTCCGCCGCCGATCATCGCTCCGCTTCCGCATCCGCCAATGCCGCTGTTGGACTGCGAGGAAGTGCTGGAACCACCGTTGCCACCGCCGGAGGAGCCGCTGTTGCCCGAGTTCGATGATCTACCATGGCCTGCGGCTGCCTGCACCGCCGCCTGAGAGCCGGACAGTTTAACGGCTAGCAGAGATCTCGCAATGGAGATGCCGGAATTGCGGGATGCCATCGCGCCATCGCGACATTTTTCCTCGTCTTCCTCTTTCCGTTTCGGCACGGCGTAGTCGATAGGTTGTTCCTGAAATAATCATCGATATTTCTATGTAATTTTCGATCTTGCATAAATTATTTTGAACTTATTAAAAAAAGAGAAATTAAAGAGTTTTTCTTTCCTCTTTTTTTGGACTCTTTCGTTTTATTCTCTTCTACTTCTTTATCTCTTAAAAAGATGTAAAGTATAAAATATTTGAAAGAAATTACTTGTATTAAAAAGAACATATAAACTACGAATAACACTAAACCAGCGAAAATAGTACTACAATATTAACATAAGAAAAATATTAATCACTATTATACAGATTGGAATAGACAATTTCATGCTAAAAGAGTATAACATGAGCGGATGGTTAATGCAATAGATATAACTTGTTAGTATTAATGTTATTAAGCGCATAACACATGCAATTAAAGTGGTTAATAAATTGCAATTTTTTCCCATCCATCTCACATATTCTTCCGTTTTTTTTTTCATCCTTTTGGAATCCAATCTTCTTTCTTCCTTTCTTATGCTTGTTTTTTTATTTATCAGTTTTCTTCCTTTTTTCATCTTGCTCTCTTTTTCTCATTTTGGCATTAAAGTTTACTTCTATGATCTTTTCTCTCGTCCTTGCCATCATTGTCTCAGCACAACATTCTCAAAAATATTCACTTATTAGTTCTTTTGTACTAATTATAAGCGTTAGTAAGATTTGTCGTTGTTTCCCAGGTGCATCGGATCCTGTGAACCATAATCGCTTTGGACTGGGATAGTGGAACTGTATTGAAATTAGCGGCATCTTCAAGTTAAGATTAAGAGTTAGTATGTTTTAGTATTTATTGGATAAGCTTACTTTTCCAGCTAAAGCGTATCCAGATATACATATAATTTCATAATTATTCTCAATCGGAAGAGGTTCATTTGAACACAGTGCGATTAAACCCAACTCGACTGTGCTTAGGGCAAGCACGATTGATCAATCAGAGTCTTGTGTTCAAATAACTGTGTCCAAATGAATGACACCCCTCTCAATTTAGTTTCCGGTCTGCAAAATTAAATACGTTTCTAATAGAGACACACGCATACATATTTATATGTATATAAATATACACACAAATTGTTAAATATTTTTATGTTACATGCGCACATGTGTAAATTATTATGTATTATGAGCGTGTATTTTTATATAATTAATTTTGTACTTTAATATAAAAATGTTAGCATGTAAAAAATTGTTCAACGGATTGCAGATTAAATAATGCTAACAAATTAGGTATGTATAATGCAGTGCAATATTTTCTCCGCTCTTCTTTATCTACTTGGTCATTATACATAATGCATGAGAGGCTGCGAAGATTGCGAGTCAAAGTTAACAAAGCGTGACTGCATTAGTCTAATAGCAGAATCTTTTTGTGTTAACATATTCAAATGTCTTAAGCTTTGATCGTACACATATACATTTATGTATATTTTACATTTTATATTAATTTATTTAAGAGATATGTAACCATTCGTAAACACTGACATTGCGCGATCGTATCTTTATTAGTTAAAGTTAAGTAAAGCAGGAACGAAAACGTGTAAATACATGGTTACTTTGGAAACTTGCTTTCCCAAAAGTGCTCTTCCACTGCAAGGTTCATTCATTCAGTGAAGGTGACTCGACGCAATACGTAATTTACCTGCTCTGGTTCGGGAGCTTGCACTGGATCGACTCTCTCGATCTCGATCTTATTCCCTTCTTTTCTAGAAGCGGATTGACCTTGTGACGGCACCCTCTGGATAACTGAAACTCTGGTAGGTGGCTCGATTCGGGGCGCCTTCGGCGGAGTCTGCGGCCTCGGCAGAGCGATTCTTTCCGACTTGGACAGGAACTGGGGTGGATCGTCCGAGGCTATCGGCGGGCTGCTGTACTCCTTCCGTTCCGCCCGGGTGAGCACGTGACGCCTGCTGCCGTACGGCACGTCGCCGCCGAGGATGCTGGAGATGAATCGTCTGGGTGCCGGGTTGCTCGCGTTGCTCGCCGGTTGCTGCGTAGGCGGCGGCGACAGCGCTGGACTGTTACTCCGTAAGGACTCCGGGGTCGTTGCACGGTCATCGTCGGTTTTGTCGCGATCTGGAATCAGAGGAACGTCAATTCTCCTTGAAATATTTTACAAACTTTTTCTTTTAAGACTTTCCTACTTTTCCTTATCCATAAACTTTTGTAGAAATATATACTTGTCGGAAAACTCATATATAATTTATATGTAAGCTTGCATTCTTTGATTAAATTAAATGTTAGCATGTTTGATAAATTAACGATAATTAACATTTTAATATAAATAAATTATCCATTATTTACAAAAAAACAAATTCTGGGGAAGAAAACACTCGGAGAATATTAATGTAGAATATAAAAGAATAGCGTGACTCTGTTACGCTAATTCTTGCTAATTTGACGATGCACGGTGCGCAATAAATGAAGAATGCGGCGAGGCGACCTTTGTGTATCGTTGGTACATCATTAACGCAATTGCGCGCGCGAAGACGCGCAGAAATTGAGCAAACTTTCCAAGGTTCGCCGTTTTGCAGGCTGTCACAGATTTTTACATTCGGGTATGTGTGGGAAAAATTGAACGGCAAGAGCAGAATCTCAATTCGACGCGGAGAGGCTGACGGTCATAACCGATGGCGGTTACCTGGCCCGTTTCGTGGCTGAATTTACGAGCAACCTTGAAGGATTCGCTGGTACCGTATGCCAATAGCTGCTCCTTCTTCAGCGCGTCCTTCGCACGTACGCGTGATCTCCCGCTTCTCTCCTCCAGCAATTTTCAGTACCGCGTATTCTATACATAATCGCCGCTGTAGTAACCGTTTTTAATTAACATACGACACAACCGAGACTACAGTTTCGTCTCTCAACATTGATATTTTTTCTCGGAGTAAATGGCGAGAGAAAGATATACTAACGAACAGTCATCTCCAGTTATGACATCAGAATTGAGAAATAATTTCTATACGTTTGCGCAAGCAACGTTACGTTGACGAAATTATCTTGGCATATTTTGTAATAATTAAAATAAAAAGTGTCTTAAGATTTATCGTCGGATATATGTATGTATGATGAATCCGCTTTTCAAATTAGTTATTCTTCGTTGCAGGAAACCGCATCAACGGTTTATTATTTTTACGATTTTAATAGGGCGATCTCTGAGGATCGCTGAGGATGCAAAGTGTACGAGTTTCTTGACTTTGACATCGAGTGAGCTCGCTGATGGAGCACGAGGACACTGTATGTCATGCAATCATGTTGTTGGAGTAACAATCAGGAAACCAACTACGAGGACGCGAAACGAGTCTTACTGAGGTCATGTGCATTAGAAAGAATATACATCAAAAGACATTTAGATGTCTTCAAAGATATCGGAATATTTTCTTTCCTTTGTTAATAAGTATCTGAACTACTGAAATGTTATTAATGATTAATATTCCTGATAATTGCATTCGAGAAAAGCAGCGCATAAATGTATTAAAGAAAACATCTTAATGTGTGTGATTAGAGAGAAGGTGAGAAATTATAGATGAAATGAGAATCTAAAGCATCCTCGAATAAGTTGATCAAAATTTGCGCAAGTTCTAACAATGAGAAATAAAACTATGTCCTCACTGGAGCAACAACGAGCAACTTTTTGTCGATGTTCCATGTTTCTGAAAAAAGTTGATAGTTGTTGCTTCAGTAAGAACATAGCTTAATCCCATGGCATTTTCCTTTACTCTTTCGACGAGAGGGGTTTGAATGTTTAGATCGAAAGAGAGGCTCTCGTCCCTGAACTGGAAATCTCAATCTCGGCGACTGAATTTCGACCTCGAAATTACGAGTTAGACGAGGTGCCTAACGATATCTTTACGCAATCGCTTGCGTCACACGCGGCTTGCAAACCCTGAAGGTAACAGCTACGGTAGCGGCGAAACTCCAAAATGGCGATTCCGTTCCGTTGATCGGGTAACCTTCGCGCGAGGAGAGGACCGCGAGGACAGAACCGCGTGCGTGCATGCGTGTTCGCGTGAGTTCCTCTAACCAAAACCCCCTAACAGGTTCGGCCAAGCTATAAATATACCTGCGGCGCGATCGTCGTGACCGGGGTACCGATGTACGCCTTTGCCTATCTTCGACTCTCTCCCACTCGCGGAGGAGTCTTCTCCATCTCTCGCTCGTTCTCCATCTCGGCCTCGTTCCCCATTCGTCCGGTCTATCTCTCTTTCTCATTTTTTTTTCCTTTCGCTTCCCTCTCGAACAGAGAGAAAGAGAGAGAGAGAGAGAAAATGAAATGAGAACCGGTACATCGAGTTGGATCGAGAGGAACGGGCTTGCTCCGCGAGCCTGAAGACGAGAGGAGAAAAGATCGATCGAGAGGGTCGGAAAATCCCTCGGTAAATCGAAGCGTAATTTTCTTGCAATTTGAATCAATTTTACAATAATGATAAATCTATTTCTTCTTCCTTATCATTCTCGAAAGATTGTCAAAATTTATTACTTTAACCAAATGAGGTCCCGTTATTATCTATATGTATTTTATTGTTAAAATTCCGAGGAAATCGACTCGATTCTCTTATTACAAAGATCCCAAGTGCGAAACTGTGCGAAAAGGCATTTAAATGAATGCGCGAACGTTCGCGCGGAACAAAAGTGGCCGAGGAAAGAAAAGATCGACGTTCAACTCGACCGAACCTTACAATTCCCACAACGCGAAACCCAGGTGAGTGCGTGAGCGCTGGAACGAGATACACTTCCTGAACACGAAGCGGAGCCTCGCGAAGTCGTTGACCATTATATTGCTAGTCAAATCTATATATCCGCGTGACTTCCGCATTTTCGACCGAATGCGCATCGCTACGCATCGCTACGACGTGTTCAAAAGTCCAGTCTTCAAATTCGTTGGTAGTTAGGGATATAAACATTCCGCCTTTAATTAATCCTATATAATTGCACCTTATCTCTTCTCCGCTCATAAATGTGAAAATTATCCTCGACTGACCGTTATCGCGATTTCAGAATCGCACTCGATGCTACATTTAGCGACGAATACTGGATGCGGACCTGAAAGTCTTCAGCTGTCGAGCTATATCAGCAACGGTTACCAGCGGTTTCTCAAGAACGACGATAAAACACGCCTTATGACGTTTACGGCAACCCATAAATATCTCGCGCACAAAGTTATTTTCTACAGATATATACGTATATGTATATATATATATATATATATAACGCGTCGATTACTTCATCATTCAATACATTGTCTCTGATTTGTATGCAGATAAGCAGGATAAATCTCTGGCGAAGGTGCGCGCGTTGTGCTGTTAATCGCAGTGTTGTTGTAGCCGAAAGGAAAGGAAAAATCTGAAAAAAGGACCCGAGAGAGCAGGGAGCGGTCGGTCGTAAGTAGGTCGGCTAAACCGCGGCGTTTCATTCGCGATCGAGCGGATATTGTGATCCGCGAACGAAGGCATAAAGCCGACGATGCGCGATCGCGCCCCTGCAAGACGACTCGCAACAGGATCTCGTCTGGCCACAATCTTAAGCGTCTTTACATCGTGCAACGAGTTTTTTCTCGAATATATCGCGGCTCGATGATGATGTTTATTAACATGAGCGCTCACATCTCGGTTTATTTTATTTTTCAAGCGTGCGCCAGAGTATTGCGCTACCATATAAATGTACAGAATCTATACAGCGAAAAACACATATTTTTCTCTCATATAAATTTCTTTTTTTTCGTAAAAATCTGATAATTGAGTATTTAAGTATCATTACATCCTTTTATAGTACAAATAATGTAAATATATTATAAGCGTTTATTTTTGAACATCACGCTCCGATATAATCGATGTTTAATGACGTAAGAGTGCTCACATCTCGATTTATTATTATTTTTTTCAATAAATTCTTGTATCTTAAAGATTACGCTATAATATAACGAATAAAAACACTCTTTTGCATCCTTTAAAATTCTTTCAAAAAAATTCTTTAGCTTCTTTTATAATTATAAAACTTTTCTCTTTTCGTAAACATTGTTAATTGATATTATTACCATTTCATAGTCATAGTGTAAATTATCGAGCGTGGAAAGAAAAATGCGAAGACGAGGATGCCACACAAACAGAATTTTCTCTTAGAATTTATCTTGAAAATCATAGTAATCGCGATACAATATTGCAAGAATTTTATAAAAGTTTCTCTGATTAATATTTATCACAATAAAAAATATTAATAATCTATCACACTAAGATAGAAATTATATGTTCGATTAATTTTACTATGTACATATTAATATTTCTTATTGTGTAAATATTAATCAGAGAGAAACTCATCGAATTTTTCCAATACCGTATTATCCCAGGTTTTCCATAATTTATAGGATAAATTCTAAGAGAAAATTTTTTCCGTGCACGAAAAAAATCGCGACGTAATCTCGGTAATCGCGAGAAAATGCGACGCGGTATCTGCGTATACGTATACGTTTGCGTAGCGGTACCGTGCGTGGGTCGTCGCGCACGGACAGCAAGGTGACACCGGTATATAAACGCGCGACATATACACTCGGTCGCTTTACGTAATTGACAGTACTCTCCTCCAATGTTTTGTCGTTCATCGAAGCATACATTTCCGCGCTTCTATTTTTTAAATCGACAAATTCGGCAAATTGCCCATTTTCTACATCTGCATATTTTGCGCGATCCCTTTTGCAGAAATGATAAGAAAATCGGATGTTTACAAAATTTGTCACGTTTGTTAATTTCTGGAGCAAAGATCGAATTCTATGATGTATAATGCTAATGATGTATAATTGATTAGAGTGTAAACTCTGAAAAAAATCTAGCAAATTGGATAGTTACTTTAATACTATAAGTAAAGAATATATTGATCATATCTCTAGAGTCTAATAAAAAATTTAATGTATATTTAAAATGTAAATTAAATAAAATAATTACAATGCAATTTAAAATAGCGCAAATCTAAAACAATATAGCGGATATATATTTTTTGTTGTATTGGAGAATAGAGTGTATTTTTTCTAGAAGTAGATTGGAGTCTTTTCTTTTTGTCTCGACTCGATATTTCTCATCTACGTAAGA